CTGCGAGATGGTGGGACGCCGCAATGTCGCCATACTTCAAGATTCCGCTCATGTTTCAAAATGGCACGGGAGTTGCGGTCGATGAAAATTGGGTTCCCCTTGGATCTAAGGTTTGCCCTTCGATCAGAGAAGCGGTGGACGTCATTGTTCGTTATAACGAAATCGTCGATGTCTTCCACGATGCTTCCACAGGTGAACCGATGAACGAGTTACACGTGGCGGGACGCTATGGCGGCCTATCTGCCGTTGCTAACTATGCCGACGCCTGTGCCGCTATTGTTGACGAAGTGGCCCGCTGCAACTGCTCCGCTGGAGATGTCGCGCACGATTGGGCGACAGATATCGCGATCGGATCGAGCGCCTGGTACATGTGCGTGCCGCACTATCGCGGCCTAACCCAGCTCGCTGAATTGCGACATATAACGAATACGATTTACAAGGAAAGGATGCAAAAAAACCGGCATGCCGCCTTTGTGACGACTAAGGTAGCGCACTCCGGTTGTCGTGGAGTTCTTCATGACGATGACTGGGCCCCTTTGTACACTATGGGAAAAATCGACCCATACATTTCGGGAAATTGCAAGCATTGCGAAATCATAGCTGACTGGATCTCGTATCGCTGTCTGTATCGAGATGATCGTGGTGGGAAAAAGGAAAAATCTGTAAGAAAACTTGTCAAAGATTCGGTCCACTTGAAGAGCTGTCCATCCCTTGAGGAATTTTGGCATAACGTCATCACCATAATTACTTCCTATGAAGGACTGCCCTCTGACATGGTGGCTCAATCCATCCAAGCTGTGGAGGCAGTATGGGAAACGTTGCGGTCAGCTTTAAACGACATGTCGCCAGACCTCGTTGCGGTAAAAGTTGTCGAAAATCATGTCCGTCTGGATAAAGCCTATATCAAAACTCACAAAGAGTCGAAGGGGTACATCCTACGTCGAGCGATGAGCAGCGTGCTTAGCGTCATGATGGATCGGACAGATGTCGCCGTGTATCAGCGAATATTGGACAGTGCTCTGATACATGGGTGCGAAAGTAAGCCATGAAAATTTGAAGTAAAGAGGGAGTATTTTTTTAATTTTGATTATAATGATTTTAATTTTTTTTAATGTTAGTTGAAGCTGATCTACGTTCTAATGCTTATTAAATTTTTGAAAGAAAACGACTGAAAAACAATCGTTCAATGGAAAACTACAGTTGACATAAATATTGGTTAAAATTTCATTTAGAATTTTATCATTATAACAATTCCTTTCCAGATTCAAAGGATTAAAATATTGGACATCATACTGCTGCATGTACAAATTCAAACATATAAATTATGTAGCTTCTGTTAACGAAAATAAAAGGGTAGAGTTCGTTTATGTGCGTGTGCATCAGTATCGTGCTCCCATTTGATTGCCAATTTAGATTGTTTCCGTGCAGACCCGAATTGGCTGTAAATTCGTCTGTATGTCCAATGAAAATGTAGAACTATAATTAATCTTAGAAATGCCGATTAATATTCCACATAGGATGGCACTATCGGACAGGAAATTAACATTTGTAATTGCAACTAATATGCAGCTAGGTAGTTGTTGCCTTAGAGGAAAATTTATTTTTGAGAAGGCAATACTTGGGTATGCATTGTTGTAACAACGCAACGTGGTAGTACTTTTTCTAGATCAAAGCACCATCATAAAATACGTTGTGAAAATATTCATCTATTTACGATACCTTACAAGTATTCACAAAAATACTCTCAGTTTCATATTTGTTTCGATGAAAGATGGACAATATCAAGAGGCAAGTACCATTTACTGACAAATAACGACTTATACTAATACATGAAGCGAATTCAACTGAATTGCAGATTAAATTTTGTAGGATTAATTTTTTCCAAAAACATTTGCAAATTGTTTCCGGGCAAGTGACGGCATGTGGCGAATAACTCTAATACCGCTGATAACCCTAAGTTTTTCGTTGCACACATTATCTCTCACCGTTAGGATTGACCGCCTCCTCGAAAAAGTCGAAACCTGTCAAACCTTTCTTATTCACGGTGGGCTGGCAACTGAAAATTTGAAAAACGACGTGTACACCAATTCCCAAATGTGGAGGGGAGGATACATTTACTTTTTTGCTCCGCTACGTCACCGAATATCCGGAAACTATTCGCACATAGCACTAACCAGGAAAGAAATCCGCTTATTGACGCCCCTCTTTAAAATCCATCACTACAAAAGTTTGAGATGTCTTTACGTCATCAACTACCTGAATTCCGCGGGAAACCTGGGTGGGATCGAACCTGTCATCGCGGAGTTTGAAATGTCGAAATATCTCATCTTGGCGGCTGACCAACTGATTATATTCCCCAGCCGGAGAGAAGTCATGGTTGGTACGCTGGGTTACCTGTACCTTTTGTGGATACACCAAAGTCTCACCAGACCCCCGTATTCGGCGGCATCATTTGAATTGCAACTATACAAATATGTCGTTATCATTAGTATTGACACGGTCGTGAAGGGTAGGATAATATATTTGAGGGCGTGTTACGCCTGTAAAACGTTGAATCTGGTTAGAATTGCAGATTCGAAAATTGAACATATTTATCGTCCGCTAAGCGCACTTATGCAGCAAGAGATGGGAAGGTTTAAAATTATTTGGAAATTTATAGCGGGACGAGAATTTACACAATTTTCCGGCATAGTTACGCCCCTTGGGGCAAAGAAATATTTAAAGGATTTTGAAAAAATCCACGATATAGATGCCACTCTATCAATTATATCGTTATTGATTCAGTTCACCAATTCGACGGGACGGGTTTGCGCGGAAATGGACGACTTTGGAATGACACCATGCGACGGGCGAATCGAGGAGGAACGTGGGAAAGTTACAAATCATATCAAAATTGGGATCGAACTGCGGGACGGGTATTATCTCGATTGGGTGACCACAACCTCGACGGGATACGATTTTATGACTTGTTGGTCTCAAGTGGAGTCTGGATTCAGGTATTACGTTGCCCCATTTAGGTGGGAAGTTTGGTTGCTGATTGGTATAGCGGGATTCTTTTCATCCATGGTTTTAGTGTTAGTTTTAAGAATTCAAAATATTTCGAATGTTTCAACAAGTTTTCCCGTACTTCTATTAATTTCGACATTTTTTGAGGAAACCCTACAAATTCCTACGGTTCTATGGAAACAGCGCGAATTTCGAATCGTATTTGGCCTCTGGTGCGTTGCCTGTATCACGTTAACAAATGGATATATCGGCGTTTCGATAACGAAACTATCCTCCCCTTTGGCGAAATATGCAGTATCTGAATTTGCTGATTTGACGAAACCTCTCTGCAGAAAGGATGAAGACCAAGAATGTACACAAAAATTGTTTAATCCTTTAATTTTTGCCTATTACGTGCACAACTTGCCAAGATTTCCCGAAAATAGATCCATAACTATGCTAAATCCAGCCAACGTCAGTCTCCATCATGCCGTAAGACATCGAGAATTCGATCAAAGTACAGATTTCGTTATCTTGCCGTACTACCCGTTAGCCTCTGCCTATGTGGAAAACATTGAGGAAAATTCGTTTTTCGGAAAACTAAGTAAACACATGGAATTTCTGTTTGATAAGATGCAAATTGAGTTTCGGAATCTTTCAAAGTTTGATAAAACGGTTGCCAATTTGGTTAATCCGCTCCACTTGACGCATCCTTTGCTACCGGTTTCTCCCGGATTTGAAGTTGAGCATGATTATGATATCGAAAAACTTATTGTGCAATGTGGCAGAACCGTGTTTGTCCAAAGAAGAGAAATTATTGAAAAAGAAATAACCTATTTTAGGCGGAATTATGATTCGATCCATTTCTTTAAAGGAAGCGAAACCATATTTAGTGGGGTGTTAGGGTGGGGATTTAAAACTCGGGGTGAAATGGGGCAAAAGATTGTAACGATTTTTAAACGCGGGGTATTTGAATCTGGAATATTTGCTGAACTGGAGGATCGTAGGAATTTCGCGGCTTCAAAAGCAAGAAAAAATATTACGAGAATTGTGAAAAAGTTGATCGGTTATAGGAACAAGATGGAGGGAGGAATGTCCATGGAGGGAACTATTCATACAGTATTTGTCATTGCGGGGGTACTTTGGGTACTGGGATTGATTGTTTTTACGGTTGAAATTGCGCTTGATTGTTGGTCTAGGATAAAGATATTGATGCCTTGTTTTAATTTGATAATATCTGTATTCTCCGAACCGTTGAATGACAGCTAGAATTAAGGTTATGCTTATTATTTTAGACTAGTTTATGAGCCCGTCCAAGGGACGGGCCAAATTTAAAATTCTGTATAAACATTGCAATTATTAAGTTAAAGCAACACAAAACTGGTCCTATATACCTATTTAGATGGAAATTATAATTAAGAAAGAGTCTAACATGGGTCATTAAAGTTTTATCCTTTATCTCGAAATTCATTGTCGAATCCCTACTGGATTATGAAATTTTGTACAACAGTATTAAGAGTTTTTCAACATTGTCATCTAATATTTTGAATATTCATGATTACATATATATTTTGAGTTAAAAAATTTTTTAATCCTGGTAACGATTTTTTATGTAAGTTAGCTAAGGAATTTTATTTACCGAATGGATTTTTCTTACCGTTACGAAGTACCTGAATCAAAATTTCTGCAGTTTTTCCCTTTCTCCACTAATATTTTTCGGCTTCTCTGTCACCACCCTGGCGTACTATGGTACAATTCGAATGTTTGAGAAACTAGAAGTTTTATTTTACATCTGTCTCCCAACTGTTGCCTTGCTCTCATCATTTTTTATTATGGTATTGATTCCACATGGAGCATGCATGGTCGAGAGTTCAAAAAATTTGGTTTCCGGTCGAGCCAACGAGAGAAATATATCTAAATTTGAGCGGAAAACGTGGATATCTTTGAGATGCATGGGAATCCAGGTTGGTCCGTATGGGTATGTTATCAAAGAATTGAAAATGATTGCGTTGAAGTACATATTTGAAAACACGACTAATTTATTGATTACATTTTAGCAAATATACACCCATACAAAATTTATGTTTGTAAAATTCTGTAATGCGAGTTTAAAATCGAATAAATTGCTTAAAACCAGCAACCATATCTTCACATAATTCTACCAGTTTATCATCTAAAATTCATCTCTTAGCATTCGTTCCATCAATTTGTTTGCTTCGATAAGCACATCATCGATCCCCAGTACCTCAACGCGCCATTGTTCATTGAGAGCTTTATGTTTACTATGAATTTTCAAAACATTATCGACCTACAAAAATACACCAAAGCGTTTAATTATTTTTGACCAAACCCTTCGCAATAATTTTACTTTTATGAAAAGTAATAGCAGTCTTATCAAACTCCATGTGAAATAAATAAACGATGCTAAATCCAAAGTAAACTTCATTCTCTTCGAAGTAAATATGCGTTACTTTGGATTGAGAAAAGTTTACTTCATATAGAGTTACAAGTACTCTTACTTTTAAAAATAGAATACAATTATTTTTAGGAGTGCACGATTCAGCCGTAATTAATAAATTTGTTACATTCTTAGAAATAATTTAACCCTTTTGAAATCTCTACTTTTCAAAAGGGTAAAATTATTTCTAAGAGTGCAAAAATACTCACCAATTCCTCAAATTGGTTCATCTTCTTAACACTGCTAAATGCTGTCCCTAAACAGCCAGCAATCACCACTTTTAGCTGGCCCTGGTGCTCGTGAAGAAAGTCTGGAATTATATTCTCTTCCATATCCTTTATTTCTTCGTCAAATTGTGTTTTGGTTTTCGCGTCTTCTTCAATCTAAATATGTACGTATTTATGTATAAAGGCATTTCTAAATTAAATAGTTACATTTCTCACCACGTGTTGCTGGTAAAATAAGGCGGAGCATCTATGTAACTCAACCGCATGTTAATTTTTTTATCACTGACAATGGAACGTTTTTTCAAGCTACACGAGATAAGCTTAGTGACTTAAGCTAAAAAATCAAGCTAAAAATTAGAAATGACGTGGTACTTATCTTTCCGTTAAATGGGCACTTGGAGGTCAAATATTTGAGGGCAAAGTTCACAGTAGCGGCCTGTTTTTTTCTCAAGCGGGCGAGCGGAGGAGTGAAAATTTTCTCCTCCGAGGTTACTCCGCTGCCTTCACTCTCGCACGATCGCACTTCATTCAATGCATATTATTTTTTACAAAATTTCACAATATCGTAAATTAGTGCATGCATTCATATAATTTTATATTTGCTTTTCTAAATCCTACTATCCACCGATCCGTAATAAAAAAAGTGACGATGGGTTCAATAACTTATAATTTATAAAATATAGCGTACATATATTTATAGGAAACATAAAATTATATGAATGCATGCACTAATTTACGAGATTGTGAAATTTTGTAAAAAATAATATGCATTGAATGAAGTGCAAGCGTGCGAGAGTGAAGGGAGCGGAATGACCTCGAAGGAGAAAATTTTCACTCCTCCGCTCGCCCGCTTGAGAAAAAAACAGGCCGCTACTGTGAACTTTGCCCTCGAATGTTTGACCTCCAAGTGCCCATTCAACGAAAAGATAAGTACCACATCATTTCTAATTTTTAGCTTGATTTTTTAGCTTAAGTCGCTAAGCTTATCTCGCGTAGCTTAAAAAAAGGTTCCATTTTGAGTGGTGGAAAATTGGTTACCAACTGGTAATATTTTCAAATTTGGCTTCCAGGGTTATTACCGCTTTGGTAACAAAGTGTGTACCACCCAATAATAAATTAATTATCGTGCGGTAGAGTCAAATCGATACTCCGCCTGGTAATACCTTAGTTACCGGGTTTCTTAGAGTGTGCCAACTTTGTGAATTGCCTTATTTCACTTACCAAAACTTGATTTTTCATCCCTTCAAGTTTTTGATAAAGTTTCAACAGAGATTCCAGCAAGCTAAAATCTACCCCCAGTCTTTTATCAAACCCTTCCGAGATCAGATCCGCATCCGAAATCCCCACGTTTTTTAGAACTCCAGCCAAATGCCGAGCAAACGGAAGATCAGACATTGCATTAAATTTCTGCATTTCTTCTTGCATTTCATCGATCACCTGATTCATCTCGAGAAACTGGTCATTACCCGTTAACTACATAAAGGTAGGAAATGATTATTCACTCGTAGAAGTAGGGTAACGATCATAACCAAAAAGTGAACTAATGCATGGGACTCCACCCAGTGGTTATAAATTTTCCCGGACTTGTGAAATTATTAAGAGATTTATAAATTTATAACCAGTTTGTGACAAATTCGTAAATATAACCTGGCGGTAGAGTCACATACAGGGTGGTTTAAATGTCAGGTTACAATGGAAAATTTGTCAATTAGAAAAATTCGTGAATTTCCATTAGTTACCGAAATTTTGCTTCTGAAATTCAATATTTTAAAAATTTTGTCATCAGTGTTCCATAAGTTTTGATAAAAATTCAAAATAAATAAATTCAAAATCCGTAACTAATGGAAATTTACGAATTTTTCCCATTGTAACCTGACAGTTAAACCACCCTGTACTTATGTTAACATTTTGGTAACTTCTAAATGTAACCCTATTTCTAAGAGTGTGTGCAGTATTTACATAATTTTATAATTTGTGGAAGTCAAAGAATCAAGAGGATAAAATTTACCTTGCTCCTGAGTTTAATCCATTGGTTGGCGTAGAGGTTTTTAAAATCCTGGAATTCACTAATCAGTGTAGTAAATTCCTTGCGGAACTTTATTCTATCACCTTTTTTCACGGACTTGAGTAAGTCTTTCGCCCTCTTTCTAAATACTCCGACCAATTCTTGCGTCTCGCTCATTTTTTTGTGGAATTCCTCTTCTTCTGCAAGAATGTTGAAGGATTTCATGTTCTTATCCAACTGTGAATATTGCGATAAACATTGTATATGGAGGTCCCATTAATTTATGAAAAATAAAATTCATAATATTTTTACACTTTTCAAAATCCCGTGTTCCTTTTTTTCGCCACATACATATATAGTAATAAATCTAGTACTCTAAATAAAAATCAGTACAATTTCTTCAAGGTTGGGTAAAAAAGAGGGTGACACAACGTTGTGCAAATTTTACCCGCCATTTTGGAAATTTTGGATAAGACAAATTTTGGACAAATTTTACTTTTTGGTCGTGTCATCCTCTTTTTACACAGTCTTGAGTAATTTGCTCATTTTACTTTGTGCCCGAATAGTGAAAAAAATTGATACCAGCAAGTCACAATTTGTCACCAAACTTTGGTAATTGATTTACACACTGTTCCGAGAATAACGCCAGATTTTTAAGAGTGTACTTATACGCCAAATATGTAAATATGTATGTGAGATCACTAACTTTCTCCTCCAATTTCTTCGCTCTCTTGAAATGATCCAGGACATACTCCACCGATTCTGCGACACTGTGAACTTGTCCGTTCTCACCTTCCGTAATTGCCATTCTTCTCTGCAAATCAGCCAAGTACATTACAGAATTGGGGTCATTCGGGTCAACTGCTTGGTCCGGATTGGACAAGACTTTCATCGCTGTTTCGTGAACTTTGGCGAATTTTTCGTATTCTGAGAGAACTTTGGCATCCTTCGCAGTACTGGTACAAATGCACAACAGGCCGAGAAATGGCAAGACTAGTTTGAAGTTTGACATTTTACTGGAGAGATCTTATGTATTTATTAATTAATTAATATTAATTATTATATTAATATATTAATTAATTATTATTAATTATGTATTTATTCACTTATGCACGTATTGAAGACTAGAGATTGATAAGATTCAGCTGAATGGAAACTGGAGCTGGGATTGCATTCATGCATTTTTCCACACAACCGGCACAAGGACGATGCGAGTCAATCTTAATGTTGTGCGAACCTAAATAAGTGAAGAACGTAACCATGTTAAAGTTGCTCGGGCTCACAAATACATACACATGTGCATTTTTCTTATCTCAATCATCCTCTTCTGGTTGGAGCAAGATCCTTGTTCTGTAAGTTTGCAGTTTAACGATACAGTTTATGGGAGGCATAGATACAGTTCTTCGGTGAGCTGTGCAAGTATTTTGCATGTACACATGCAAAATTGCAAACTTTATTGAGACGAAGAGCAGTGTGGAAGTTTTCCATTGGGACTTCTGCATTGGTGAATATGTAAATTGCAATTACAAATTTGCATTTGCCCAATAAAATGCACATAAATATACACTCCAAGAAACCCGGTAACTACATAAGTTATTACCAGGCAGAGTATGTATGTATGTGATATGTATGTAAACTTTTTTTAAATTTAATTCGTTGAAATCGATGCGAATTGGATTTGTACTTTTGGCTCGTCTTGCCTCATATTTAGAGTATGTATTTAAGGTCAACTCTGTATTTCGTCTATCTTACTTATTGTTTGTCGGATAGACTTATAAAAAGGGTATGTATATTTTTACCCTTTTAAATGCATGCATAAAAGCCGTACTTTCTAAGCTAAGTAAGGGATCTTACGCAGTAAGACATTCTCCATCAATCCTACTCATTTGAATGGAATGGAACACATTGCACTTATTTTAGTCTGGAATACTCAGAAACTACGTTAGTGTCTTGTCACGTAGTTACATTACCGTGGTTGAAAGTACCCAGACAAAATGCACCCTTTCATCAAACCATGGAAAAGAATATTAGCCCAGTATCATTTTTACCTTAACGTGTGCATCACATTTCTGAATAAAGCATGTCATACATACAGCATAAAAATATTGTAAACATATTTTCTGAGTAATATAGTGCATCTGTACTTAAATTAGTGTTTAATAAGATCGGAGTGAAATAACTCATAAGTTTTTGCGAAAGCAATAATTACAAATACGCCCCCCTAAACTGTTAATCACGAAATAATGTCAGAGGTCACCGAAATAGGGGCTCCCCTCGAGTGTCTTGTCTGCCAAAAATATTTCCCCACAAAGACGCGTCTTCGCCATCACGTCGCTATACATCAGGAGAACCGTGGGATTAAATGCGAAGTAAGTATGTCTAGATAAGTTCACTCTAAATAAAAATAAGTATTTAGTCAAGGTTGTGCAAAAATGAGGACTAAAATGTAAAACTTATCCAGCCGTTGGACATATTTTACACAATTTTGGACAAATTTTGTACAACGGTTGGATAAGTTTTATGTACCTGTTGGTTGTGTCATCGTCTCTTTTTACCCAACCTTGCGGTAATTATACTTATTTTTGGTATAATTACCTCACAATTACAGTGTAAATAAGTTTGAAACAAATCGTCACCCCGCGGAGGTATGCACTAACAATGCAAGTCTTTTACGTGTACAACTCAGATCTGCATGGGACCAATTTTATTTTGTTCAGCACAAAAAATAAGCATACCCGTATTTTTTCATTTTTCATAATGCGCTAATTTGAGCGCGTGGCGCGAATTTTAAAACATTTTTCAGCCAAAACCTCGGTTTTTAAAAATTTAGCAACTTTTCGAATTTTAGCGCGAATCCAAAAATTCGAAAACATGTCTTTTCAGAATGACTTACTTGACTTGTAAAAAATCCACATGCATTATTAGCTCGCCCTGCGTAGCACGAGAGCTATTGAATTCCTCGTGTCCGTCCGTCCGACCGTCCGTCCGTCCGTTGACGAGTTTTTTGCATTAATTGATGCGATTTAAAAAGTCCCTGGTCAATTTTTTCATAAATTAATAGCACCGTTAGCATCTGACAATCGGAAAAACCAAGTGATGCGAAAGAATTGGGGGATCTGATTCATAAAGCACCAATAATGCATACTAGACGGCGGATTGTATTAGACAATTTTGACATAAATTTTTCAAAATTATCGTTGATCGTTGGTAGGTAATTCTGCACCATTGATGCACAATTATTGCACTTTCCTCGATGCATAATAATTATTAATCTATTTTGTTTAATGTTTCTGCACCATTGGTGAAATATTGCATAAACATTATTGATCTACTTTGTTGGATTTTTCTGCACCATTGGGGCAAGTTATAACCAAATCATTATTACAGGGTGAGCTACTTCTAACGTTACTACGGTTTATTTTTTGAAAAATTAAAAATTTGAAAGAATTTATAATTTTAATGAATTTCAAAAACTGGAAAAAAATGTTGAAATCCAAATTTCGAGACAATTGGATTTTTCATAAGTGAGGTAAGTCATTCTGAAGAGACATGTTTTCGAATTTTTGGATTCGCGCTAAAATTCGAAAAGTTGCGAAATTTTTTAAGATCAAGGTTTTGGCTGAAAATTGTTTTAAAATTCGCGCCTCGCGCTCAAATTAGCGCATTATGAAAAATTAAAAAATACGGGTATGCTTATTTTTTGTGCTGAACAAAATAAAATTGGTCCCAACCAGATCTGAGTTGTACACGTGAAAGACTTGCATTGTAAGTATGGTGTTCTTTTATTGGATTTGTTACCAATGAGAAATAAGTCAAAAATTCGTGCACTAGTCACACGTGACGTCGTTATTTAAAAAACACAATACTTTTGTGTAAGAAAATCTAGTATTTAGATAAAAATATTCAATTTTTTTAATAACGACGTCACGTGTGCTTTGTAGTTGGTACCCGAATTTTTTAGTCATCGGTGACAAATCACCTAATAAATCATTACCCAAAATAAAGCACCATAGTTCCTCCGAGGATGACGATTTGTACAAAAAAAATTTGCAGTGTACTCATAATTTAAGTAATTACTAATAATTTAATCATATACCCACATAATTGCTCATAATTTTAGTATCGGCCAACCTTGTATCGATTAATGCAAATTAATTTCCAACAGATTCGTGGAAAGGTTGTGAAAGACTTGGGGATACACAAATCAAACGTGCACAAAAATCGGGTCCGTCCAGCCTGCGAGATTTGCAAAAAGACATTTTCCTCCTCACAAAATTTACAAGTGCACAAAAACGCTTTTCATAATGAACGCACGGATCGTCCCCGGTTGCCGTGCTGGTACTCCGACTGCGACAAAACTTACTTGACAAAGGCTGAAGTTAGGAAACATGTTGGACGGGTGCGCTCAGAAGATCCGATCCGATTTCGGTGCAAACTTTGCGGAAAGGAATTAAGATCTGGGCAAGGATTGGGACAGCACATTGCCACCCACACGACGGAGAAAAGTTTTACCTGCTCCGTTTGTGGGAAGGGTTTCATTCATTTATCGAACTTTAAGCAGCACCAGGTACATACATAAATTAACCGTTACAACAAATGTAACCAGGGGGTGAAAGGAATGTTTCATACGTTGAAATGAATATCATATTGTTTTGGTCCGTTCAAAATTTTTAAAACGGTTACTGAGGTGTCACAGTCCAAATTTTCCGTGTAAACGATTCAGTGTTCGGGATTTTCGATGAGTAAATCTAGTGTTTCTCACGGGTCGGGTTCTTGCAAATCCGAAACCCGAACCCGAACCCGGTACCACTGATCCTAAACCCGAGGCCAACCCGAACCCGAAGAACCCGTACCCGTTTTCAGGGACCCGAACCCGAACCCGAACTGGGGGTTCAAATCCGAAACCCGAACCCGAAAACCCGAAAATATTTTTAATTTTCAGGCATGGGCTGAATTTGTACTTAAAAATTATTTAAAAGCTTAAAAATCAACAATATTTATAATATTTCAAAAACTGCCCCAGAGTGGCTTTCCGAGACCTTTAGAAATTTGAAAATCAGTTCAAAATTGGATAATTGTTTCCAGTTTGACGTTTCCAATATTATTACTTATGTAATTAGGTATGATTCAGGTAATTGCATAGCAAAATTAGGATAAAAAGTCGATTTCTTTAATAGTTCGCACCATAACACTAATTGAATCAGGCTCTTGTAAATCGTTTACCTGTTTGGAAACCATTGAAATTAAACGAATTTAAGACAACTAGAAATTGGAATTACTTACTTCAGTATTGCAACCGCTGAAGCACATGTAGTTCAACAATTTTTCTAATATCTTTTTGTGATATCGATCCAAAAAGGTTTGATTCGGGTTTCGGGTTCTTAATCCGTGCCCGAACCCGACCCGAACCCGAAATTTTGACATGACATTTTTCGGACCCGAACCCGAACCCGAAAGTTTCGGGTTCTTAAATTTCGTATCCGAAGCAGAACCCGAACCCGAACCCGAACCCGAAACCCGAAGTAAGGACCCGAACCCGTGAGAAACACTAAGTAAATCTTACGACGTTTACAAAATTTCGTAATCGCCTTAAAATATTTTACGTAACGAATAATGAATACCCGCATTAAAATACTGTATTACGTATTAATTAATTAATACAGACATAAGTATATGTATTACCTATTAATACGTATATTACCCTGGATTAACATATAATGGACAATATTTTCACGGTGAGAGTAACATGACTCTCACCTTTCTGTTGCATGGTCCTGTTGAAAAGAAATTCGGGGCGAGGTTAAATTTTCTCACTTTTTCCACTATTTGGGAACTTTGCCCCCTGTATTTTATTTCAATACGTAATTTTTGACTTTATTTTTCGATTCAACTCATTACACAATCTCAATCTAACTTGCAATGAGGCTCCGTAGATAAATACATAGTATAATTTTCACGATATTGAACTGAAAGAATATTTAGTAGCTTAAAAAATTCTATAACGATAAAAGAAAGATATGCCCCATTATTCATGAAATGCAATTATAAGTTGTTAACATTTCAACTTATTGCTTAGTAATGAACGCCTTTTCAAATCGTGCCACGATTTATGAATCAATCCTTAATTAAACATTTACATATTTATTACATGTCACAAATTCTGATAATTCATCAAATATTTCAGCTGATCCATCAAGACAAGGCGACTCGGAAAGAGTTTCTATGCAAAATATGTCCCCAGACTTTCCTCAGCAGACAAGGCGTCGCCTATCATGCCAGAGTTTTTCATGAAAATCAGAAATATTCCTGTGATAAATGTTGCAAAAAATTTGTTACAACCTCCACCTTGAAACGACACATGGCGGCGATCCATCCATCCACCCACGAGCGAATGATCACTTACGCGTGTGATAATTGCGAGTACCAGAGTCATTTAAAATTTCGCCTGAAAATCCACAGCATTCGATGCCATGCTGGGAATGGACACTACGAGTGCTACTTTTGTGCGAAGCAGTACTTCACCTACGGATACTTGACGAGGCACGTGGCCAGACATAATCTGGAAGTGTAAATAAATATGTAGTAACAATCATGTCCAGTGGACCTTGTCGGTTTTATGAATTTTTTGAACAGTATTTATTTGTGCCGTCGTGCCGTTAATAATCATTTTTTAGTTTATAATTTTCATGAAAATAAGGTTGGTTACTGTGAGAATTTATAACCGATTTTATTTCTAGAATGCTCGATTCGATTTTTAGAATATTCCTTCTTTTGTTACTTGGCCAAGAATTGGCTCTCAGCGGCGCACAGTGGGCCAGATTTAAAAAATTTTGGCCAAAAATATATAGAAGCCGAATTTGAAGAAACTAGAACTAGATTTTGGTGTGCAACAATAACCTAAGGCATATATTATATGAGGAAATTTTTAATAGTCACATGCCACACCCCCAGTGGGTGTGGCCCTCTGCGACTTTTCGATTTCAACGAAACCATGTCATGTGACACATCATTTTTCTCAGCTCAACGAGGGGACCTCGACAGAATCATTATAATTTTGACACCACATCCCCAGTGGGTGTGGCTCTAAGCAACTTGTCGATTTTAACGGAACCATGTAGTTTGATATGTCATTCTTTTAAGCTTGATTAGAGGTATCGACGGAATACCTAAAATTTAGAAAACCACACCCCCAGTGGGTGTGGTTCCCAGAAAATTGTCGATTTTAATAAAACCATGCCATGTGTTATATCATTCTTCTCAGCTCAACAAGGATGTTTCGAAGGAATACTAAAAATCAGCGACTTTTCGATTTTAACTAAACCACGTCATGTCATGTAATAAATCATTTCTCTTAACTAAACGAGGGGATTTCGACAAAATAATTTGAATTGCATTACGTAAATTAAGAAAAACCCACTTTCAAACTTTGTAATTTTTTACAATTTCTTGCTGCATTTTTCAAAATTTTGAAATGGCATACAAAGCCTTAAACTTTTACAAATGTATTTTTCTAATCTTGTTTTGTAATTTTTGAGAAAAAATGGTTTTGTTCTTTCATTTTTGATATAGCGTTAAAATTATATAACATAAAAGTTTTTGACAAATTTTAATTTGCGCTGAAATGCCCTCTAAACCGCCACAACCGAAAACGCGAGCCTTCATGGAAACGCAAAAATACGGGTAGTGCTATTTCGGTGTGGGAGAAATTTAAAATCGGAGAAAACAACGTTAACCCGCTGAATTCGGCACCCACTGGGTGGCGTGGTTTCAAAATTCTAATTATTCTGTGGATATCCACTCGTATAGCTAAGAAAAATGATATATCACATGATATTGTTCTCGTTAAAATTGAGAATTTTCTTAGAGCCACACCCACTGAGGGTGTGGTGACAAAATTTTAATCGTTCTATCGAGATCCCCTCATCGAGCTGAGAAAAATGACATATCACATGACATGGTTTCGTTAAAATCGAAAAGTTGCCGAGGACCACACCCACTGAGGGTGTGGTTTCTAAACTTTAATGAATCTGTCGAGATTCCCTCGCCGAGCTGAGAAAAATGATATATAACATGAAATGGTTCCGTTAAAATCGAAAAGTCGCCGAGGGCCACACCCACTGAGGGCGTGGCATATGACGATTTGAACATTGCTAGTAGTGGCCAGGCTGTCCAGGTATTTTTTCGACATGCACTTCGATTTTTATTGTTTGAAATTTTGCGGTATTCGTTAATTTGATTCTACAAGTTGCTTGACCTTGTGACGTTAATTTCGAGGGGGTGCGGTCGAATTAAAAAAAGCTGAAAATATATGTTTCGCCCATTGACCTAGGGTTTCCAAAACAGTCGCCACTTTGAAAATCGGTCAACAATTGGAAAAGTAATCCGAATTTCAACTTTCAATGTTGTTAAGCATGACAAGATCGGCCATCAAGCCTTTCAGCAAGAAATGTCTTTAATTTTGATTCCCCTACCAGAGGGTGTGGTTTTCACACCCAAAATACGTTCCTGCTACCACCTCAGTTTGCTGAGAAAGTCCAATGAGTGAGTATACTTAAAGCATACTTGAGTAAAGGCAATTCTACTTAAATTTGATTTTTTTAACTTTAATGACTAAAAGTGGGTGTGGTTGGAATAAAGCTTGATGGTCGCAGACGGTCGCAGCAGGGTATACTTAGCACACCATGGGCTATTTAATGGCATGAGTTTTGAGTCCGCAATGCGTGAAGTTTTGTTAAGTTTTTAGAAAATGTGTTCGCCCTATCTTCGTAATGTATTATGAAAAGTTTACCCCACGGGTACACCCGAGTGGGTGTAACATTTGGTTTTATATTTTGCATGGAGGACATGTTGGTTCTATACTACACGTTCAAATATGTGAATAGCCAATTCAAGATACCGCCTTAATGGCCACATTTTTAGGCTCCGGGCCCATTGTGCTTGGGTAGTGTGGGCCCACAATTTTAAGTGCCTGTATCTTTGTAAGCACATTCGTACAGAATCTGTAGTACGTTGTATATCATACTTCTCAGGTTTATTGGTTACAGTTGAATAAAAATATCGATACAATTGTTAGCAGGGTATTCCAACCTGGGTTTTAATGGGTTGGGTTTTATTGGGTTTTAATGGGTTTTAATGGGTTGTAAATGAATAAAACCCACTGGGTTTTACCATGTTAAGCGGGTTTTATGTGGGTTTTAATGGGTTTTATTGGGTTTTAATTGAGTTTTACCTTAAAACTACATTCTAAAAGGTAAATACATCTCCAATACGTTAGAAGACGTTATCTCAATTCACTAAAGCAGTTTATTTCATTACTATTCTAATATATGAAAATTCGGAACAAATCAACAATTGACTCCATCCTTTAGCATCACAGATTTCAAGTGTCATAAAATAAAAATAATTTCAGAATAGATACAAATTCCGAATTATTTTTGTTAAGTTATTACTTGAAACTAATAAAACCCATTAAAACCCAAATAAAACCCAATTAACATGGTAAAACCCATTAAAACCCATGGGTTTTATAATTTTTGATTAAAACCCTGGGTTTTTCCGAACCCTGATTGTTAGTGTTAATGTTTCTTTCGATAGTGCCATTATTTACAGCAATTAGCAAATCCCTGAGTTATCGCGAGTGTTGAGACGAAACACTACGTATTATTTATGTATCGCCAAAATGGCGCATCAATGAGTTTACTCACTCTGGTGTATTGTTAAGTTTAGGAACTCTGGTGCTGTTAACGAGCTATAATCGAGCCGACCGGTAAGCTCAAAAAATACAATTCGTGTGGTCCAATTTTTTTAAGCAGAGAGAAACTATCCAATTACTTTTCTGAAAAAATACTAATTTATTTCAAACGCCAAGGTGGTTAGAATAAAATAATTGAATAAGCTCTATAAGTAAAATTTATAGAAATTATGCAAATTAATTGTTTCGATTACAAGCTTTAAATTCTTTATTTAAAAAAACCTAGCGTTACACTTCAGACTATTTTATTACTAGTCACCCTTATAAAGATAACCCTATGTAAAAGCACGACTCTAAATGTTTACGAAAGCATGCGTCCACATACATAGCGACTCAAATGGGATGCCAATAGCTGCGTTGAGATGACATTGCATGTCCGGTCTATGTGTGCATTTTTACTTAATATCCGACGTTATATTATTGAATTTAGTTAGTTAAATAATTTCAACATTTGCACAAGGAATACATACTTGCATGTTATCTTTTCACTCTGGTTTCATCGAACAAAGTGTTTTTATTTCAGACAATACATTCAGAAAAAAAGTGTCGATGAAATCCTTACATAAATTGCTTTGATAGCGAAAAATCTACTTCATCTCAAGTTACCTTGGGGCGAAAAGTATTAAATTTTATTTCCTCAATTTTTGGTTCCGTTTCAGTTTCCTTCTAAATCGACGACGGAAAGAAACGTTTCGAACACTAACAAGCCAACCTTCAAATTTATGACGGATTGGACCGAAACCCTCGGCCAGAAACAAGAAAGCGCCAGCGACAAGTAAGAAACCACACGAAAGACACCTGGTCTTCAAAGCCTGAAGCGTAACCGGGTTAGCCTCATCAAAGATTACTTCCTTGGTCAACTTTTGGGAACGGAGTTGAAACATGGCTTCCTAAGCATATTACCTTTCGTGGTACTAGCAATATGCGGAAGCAATAAGACTTTTTCCTGCAACATTGCCCACCTCGGATAAAGGCCACTTTGCCAAAGTCGTCCCATTCCAACCGATAGTATGGGAAAAAGCCACGTCCTCTTCATCATTAATGGCATGATGATAAACAAGGGAACATCGTTAAACGATTTAACCCAAATTTCTCTCTTTGTTCTTAGCCCGGAAATGAAGTTCTTGTCGTCTGGTGTTTCATCTAAAATGGCAAACGTATCTTCTAACTTTCTTGTACTCCTGTTGAAAGAAAACGTCTGAGAATTAGCCAGCTCAACCCCGAATTTAAAACTATTTTGGATCGGAATAAACATAGTGTTACGCCATAACTGGATAAGCATTGTGTTCTCTTTTTTGGAGTAATTTAGTTCTTCGATTGGATGGCGTATCATATACTTCGCCAGTGAATGTGCTTCCTCACCAACGCCTGTCCCGGTTGTCATTATTTGCAATTTTAAGTCTAACAGAGCATGAGTGGAGGTAGGAAGTTCTGGCGGTGATGTGGTTATTAGGAAGGAGAATTAGGAACCTTGATAAAACTCTGTCCCAATGAAGAAGAAGAAGCAAATCGATACAAATATTAACATTTTCTAGCGAGGCATCATCCTTAAGATGTCACCTGTTCCGCCATACTGCCCACCAAGGCAGGCATACGTCCAAAATAAAGCACTAGAAAATCTATCCCTTACTGCTTCTAGTTTTGGAACCGTTATAACGACAGTTAGTGAAACTACCGAGGCCATGATTCCAATCCACGTGGGAGTATCGAATGGGACAAGAAAGGTTCCCAAAGACTCCACAAGTGATGAGGGTTTCAACGAAATCGCTGTCAAGCTTGTATGAATCATGTTTATGTGATAGATAAATAAAGTTTTTCAGTGAAGAATTGTCCAAATGATGGAAGGGTGATAACATGCAGTTATGTGAAATAATGGGTAAGTTTTGTGGCATTTCGGCTAACCCATCATAGTCTGTGAAATTGTAAAATTTGCGTAATGTTTTCTGGAGGCAGGTGATGATTGTTGGGAAGGATCCTTCAGAATTGTAGAGATTACTGCATGTATACTTATTTATGGAATTAGACCAGACCCATCCTATCTTAATTGGCCTTCCGTTTAAATTGTAATTATATAATTTCCATTCTTTGGACGAATCGGGGTAGTTGTGGTATACCCTACGTAGCGGTTGGAACTCACATGTGGGACAGAAAATGTACGTATTTATCAGGCTTAGCTCACCTGGACCTAGCACGAATACCTTCGATGTCAAACCGACCAATACGGATGACTGTGGAATAAAGGAGGCAGTCGTAGCGTTCGTGTCAATGAGGAAGATTAAGTCGGGATTTTCTTTAAAAAATGCTATTTGCAACTGTACTTGGTAAAAATTCAAAGTTGCAAGCCATCCTGGGACGGCTGGAATTATGAAGAAGATCTCTTGGCTGCGGGGTTCTTTTTGGGTCCGCGTAAAACTCGCAGCTCTTATTTTGCTGAGAATCATACAGGCCAAAATTGGACATGTTGTGAATTATTTTTGGGTGAAATTTGTCATCTAGAAGATTATTAATGAAGGCTAATTCCCACACGGCATCATTCACTTGGCCAAAATCAACCTTAATGTTGAATATAGAGTTTTGTGGGGCGAAATTCGATGGAGTAAATTGTGCTATAGGTTTGTCACAGAGGAAAGTGAATAGCATAAAGTAGAGGGAAAAGTTAGCTAACATATTTGCAATTGATTGTTTACTCTGGTGCATGCATGTATAGTATTTTCTATTATTTTTTGTCCATATTTCTCTAACAAGATAATGTTTGTCATAGATGATGATAAAGTTATCCACTGTTTGAAAATGTATAACAATTACAAATTCGAGAACGCCCTAGCTCCACTTCTAGAAATTTCGGTCACTTTGGAGAAAAAAATTGAACAATATCACCTTCAACAATTTACGAGTCAAGAAAATGCATGGGGTACTAAATTAGTAATCCCACTGGTTTTGAACTGCAATGTAATGTTTTACCCAAACTATCGAATGGATCTATGCAACAAAATAAAACCTATGGAATAACTTTGCACAAAATATCTATGTTGACGGTGCTGAAAAGTTATGCCTATTGATGTGTGGTCGAGTGATTGGTCGAGAAAAGCAGGGGTTAGCCAGCTTATCAATAAATCTATTTGCGTGTCTAGATTCTTAACATGCATGATGTCTTGTGTACTTGACTCAAAATACCAGCAATGAAATACATAATTCTACAAAATTTAATATTTCTATAAGCCTCACGAAGTCTCATAAACTAATTCATATAATGCATACATAACTCTGAAACCCAAGTCACGGAATTTTGTTTGGTTCTCATAGATCCGTGATGAGTTCTGTATGTGTTATCCAAAATACAATAAATCGTACACAACTTTCAAGGGGTCATTACGATGGTTGTTTCTCATGGTGCGTTTTTGAAGTTAACATTTCCGGATTCTCCATAATTTTTTATATGTATATGTCTTAATTTTTGCACGCCCACATCCTTTTCCGTTGAAATGTAGTCATGCTTTCCACGAGTCTTTGTCAACCAAATTCTGGTACTTACAAAAAACTCGTTTCGCGAGTTCGTCACTTTGAAATGGCGTACGAAATTTTTATTTCAATGAAAACTGATGAAATTTTTGGGGTACAGTATCAGATGTACTGTACCCCAAAAAACCACTTGTTTACCAGTCCATTCAAATCTCAAGACAGAAACAACAGTTTATCTCGACTTTTTGGATCTGATGAGGATAGTGATACCCCAAATAACCCAACCACGTTGACCCCAATCTCCAGGAAAAGAAAAGTACATACAAATTTACGCAACTCCGTGCCAAAGAAGAAAGCCCTATTCGACGATATGGACGAAAAACTGGAGAAGCTCTCTTTAATCGATCCAGATGAGAAATCGTGCATAAAAGAATATATCGATCAATATAATAAGGATGCAGTAGTACGGTATTTTTTAGAATTGATGTTGGAATTGAAATTTATACCAATTTTACCCAAAACTGATGTCATGCAGATATGGTTGCAAAATGAATCAATCAGAATTCCGAGAGAATTAGCAAACACATTAATAAGCAAGCTCATGGATTATTTCCAAGCAAAATATTTTAAGAATAACGTGGAAGGAGCTCAAGCCAACAATAAAAAACTTTTCAATCCAAAGTCAAACTTTAACATTCCAAATTTCAAAAACCTACAGGAGAAAGTACTACGAAAACTTACAGACCTAAAGGAGGAATATGTGTTTAATATTCAAAAAGAAGCAGCGGAAGCTACAACTTTTACAGTACAACTAATCCTACTTAAAATTGTGAAGCAAATCAAAGATTTTTTAAAAACTCTTCCCGACCAAGTAAACGAACAAACCGAACAAAATCTTATAGAATATATTTTGGCCACAAGTTATTTCATTGCTTTAATTGAATTTCCCAAATCGAAAAAAGTACATGTAATTGATTGGACAACCTACCAATCTAAAACAACCCATGCTATCCCAATGTGGAGAAGAGTGGACCCCGAGAACCCACCAGTAGATGTGCAAAATAGACTAGCGGATGGGATTTGCTACAATATAAATGCAGCAAAAATTAAGTTAGAGGGAAAAGCTGTGGAATCAGAATTTTACGCTATGATGGCAGGAAATATACCATACCCCCAAAATCAATACCGAAATAACTATGGTCAAGGTGGTTACAGAAATCGAGGCCGCGGTGGAAGAAACTTCAACAACCGATCCGGAGGTACTTATTACAATCGAGGCAGACCCATGCGAGGGAAACAAAATGGGAGGAGTTTCAACAATTCGAGTAAAGAAAACAGGAGTCAAAACCACGAACAAGACAGGTCAAATCATGGAGGCCAGGTGAATGATGATCACGACGCCAACGCCACAAATCCACAAAATCATCAACATCCATCACGACCCTATTTATCGGGACGGGGAAAACGAAGTTCTGGGATGGACTCGACAAGGAGGTATTTCAATACAACCAGCACTAATACAAGGGGACAATCTAATACAGAAGCCCATAACCGAGATAATGTGATCGACGCCCCACAAAATAAGGAAGGGATTATCAACGCTTTCACATGAGGAAACGACGCCATTACGATAAGTGTAAATAAAAAACCTAGGAAATTTATTAATATGAAAAAGGTTCTTGATTGCTCAGTTCAACTATCCAGAAAACAGAATAACACTCTTTATAAAATGTACAGGAATTTCAAACTACAAGAACCACCCATTCACAATTTAACGACAATAAGGAAAATACCAGAGTATGTATCATTTCTTTTATCATTGGGTCTCAATTTTTGCTTATTACAACATGTTAATTACAAAACTATGCAAAATCACTTTAATGAGGCTCTGAGGAAAATGAGTTGGATAATATTTTTTAAAACTAACAAAGAAGAGTCAATTTTGTCAAATTTTGATAGACTGTTGATAAACATAAAAAAAGTTAATAATCCATTAAAGTTGCCGTGCCACATACAGGATGATATTTTCCGAGATCCTGACACAGATATGAAGTTTTTGTCTTTGATTCGAGCAAAATACAGACGAGAAAACTTTATTCCACCCGAAGTTCTAAATAAATTTCATGAATTCTTTCTTAAAAATAATTTAGTAGTAAAAAATTCAGACAAAAATGCTGGTATATGCATTATGCATATGCCAGATTACGAAAATGAAATTTTCCGTCAACTGGACGACGAAAGTATATACCACCCTTCAACCGAATCACATTTCCATAGCCAAGTAGACGAATTCATTGATAAAACTAATTGTATGAAAATCCATTTTAATGATAAGAACAAGACACAACTTTCACAATTGATAAATAATCAATGTCAACCGGCTAACTTTTACATTTTACCAAAAGTACATAAGCCATTTGATATATTTCCAGTTGGGAGACCCATTAGCAGTACATGTAACACCGTGAATAGACACATGTGCGAATTGGTAGATTTCATTTTAAAACCAATTACAACTTTCATTCCGAATCTCATTATCGACACAGGTCATTTACTACTTTTACTAGAAAACATATCTCTAAAATGTGATACTAAATACTCTTTAATTACTTATGATATTTCTAGTATGTACACCAGTCTGAAATTAAATAATTGTAAATATGCATGTGTACAAGCTTTCGAAATGTATAAACCAGAGTTAAATCTCCCATATAATTTCAATTCACAGCAATTCAAAAGCTTACTGAATTTATGTCTTGACTATAATATTATAAAGTTTAAAAATATCTATTACGAACAGATTCAAGGGATTCAAATGGGAAATTCAGCTTCAGTTACGATTGCAAATATAACAGCCGAATTTGAGATAAAAAATTTGTTCCATAATCATACAGAAATTGTCTTCAATGCAAGGTTTGTAGATGATGGTTTCCTAATTGTAGATAATACAAATATCTCAAATATTGAAGAGTGGTACAATAAAATTTTTAATCATGAATACTTAGAGTTTACCACTAAATTAAATTATCACTCAATTGAGTTTTTAGACGTACAAATAACAATTAATGATATGAACAAAATCACTGTACACGAAGCCAATGGCTAAAAATGTTTTTTTACACTACGAATCAAACCACCCAAAATCTCTCATTGAATCTCTTCCGTACTGTCAAGCATTACGTATAAAAAAGATATGTTCCGATCCTGAAAATGCTGTGAAACAAATTGATATGTTATTCGGAAAATTTTCAAAACGGGGTTATCCTTTGAATGTACTACATAAATGTTTATTGAAAATTAATCAGATAAGCAGACATGATATTCTTAAGCCAAAAACTCAACTTGTGATAAAGCATTTAAAACATAATAATCCTACTGTGTTATGTAAATATACCAATGTCAACTTACATGAAAAAGAGATGCATGAAAAAGTGTTTATTGTCATGCCGTTCTACAAGAATATGTATGGTTTTAAGAAATTATTTATAGATTTTATTGTATGTGAAGCAAAGAAAGGTCAAAATGTAAAATATAAACAAATATTAACAAACCTTAATTTAATTATATCTTACAAAAAAACTACCCAACTAAAAAGGTACACTGGCCAGCAACATAAAACTGGATAACAGTATCAATTTGTACTCAACTCGAGGCGTAACATATGAAAAAAATATTTGCCCAAAAAAAGTTTAAGAAACTTGTAAACAACTTATAAACATTTTTAAAAAACAAACTATAACAAGTCACTCAGCAGGTAACTTTTGAAATTCTGTTACAAAACTTACTAAAGTCTTTAATTTTACCAGATTATTTAAGAACACAATTACACTTATTTTAATGGCGTGTGAATAAGCATGTGAATATGCATGTGCATATACATATGTATATACTTTTATATTCAAATTTAATTTGAAATTTAATTCACTTTATGTTATTTTATATTAATTATTTTGTAATTTTCTATAATTTCGTAGCCTGAAGAAGCTGTACTTTATGGCGAAACCGGTCGCAGCTGGTGAATAAATCAGATTATTTGTCAATCAGTTGGAAGTGTTTTCTTCACACCTTCAAAGTTTAAAAACATATTATACCAAAATTTTAGACTTCTAGAACCCATTTTTTACCATTTGAAGGCCAAAATGCCCCCATCACCATTATTTCCCATGGGCTCTCCATTAAGATATCATGAGATATTCAGTGTAACGAATGTACACCGAAATTGGATCTAAACCCTGTTGCAATAAGGTATCGGCTAAAAAATTAATGGAAAACCTACCGTATAAGAAATTCTTCTCATATTATGTACCCATCATCCAACCCGACTATAAATAAAACTTTGCAATACAAATGTAATGAAGGGGTGAAACGACACGGTTTTTCTTATTGTTGTTGTTAATGCTTGATTCACGTCTCAACAGAGATCAACGTATTACGAATTGGTTTGCACACCATGACACAGACCCAATATGGCATTACATAATTTATGGAGGTCCCCTTAAAACTTCACATAAAGCGCTATAAATACATATTAAAACACATTTTTGTATTAAGCCTACATATCTACATACCAGGGTTGGTGTACTTAATTACTTTTGTACTTAATTACTTACTTAATTACTGAAATTGAAGTAACTGGTAATTGATAATTGATTTCAATTACTCCAGTATTTTTCAAAGTAATTAAGTAATTAAGTACTTGGAGGACTTGGAGTAATAAAAATTAGAAGTACTTAATTATTTGGCCAAGTAGTATCAGTTACTTAATCGAGCATACTTTGGATAAAATGCAGCAAGTCTCCTTCTCCCTAGGAAGTCGAGGAACTCACATCTTTTGTCTTGAAACGCTTTAGTTAACATACCCATTCAGCCTTTCCACTTTAAGCGTATTCCGATTTTATATTACAATTCTTACAACTTTTCTATGAACTGGAAAAATTACTATGTAATCTCCTTTGTCAGATTCAGGTATTTTATCAGGATTTATTTACACGTTCCGATTACATAAACGCCTTAATTTCGATTCTCAATTGGTGGAAAATAAGCAGTGCTAATAAATACTTGGTGCTGATTACTTGGTGCTGATTACCAAAATTCGGTAGCATATCGTTACTGCTTAGGATTAGCGTTGCATATCGGTAACTTTTTAGCACCTTCCATTGTTACGGTATCATTCCTTGGTGTGCAGCTCGGGTTGATTCCTCTAAGTGTTCATGTTGGAGACTTTTTCAATGTAGTGAAACAAGTAAAATACACAGTAAGAACAGAAGTTTGCACCGTTTCTCGACTACATGTCTGGGGCCATAAATATGTAAATGACATGAAGGATTTGTGACGAATAAATGTAAACGTATCAAACATTAGCATAATGTGCGCATTTAGTGGGCAAGGTAAAAGTGATTTTTTAGACCATACATTAATTAAATCCTCTACAAGACGTACATATGTACTTCACACATTAGGAAAACATGTTATTTATAACAAATATCTGCTAGACAGAGTAGCCCGTTGAATGTATCGACGTTGATTCATGTAAAAACTGAAAGCGAATTATTTTGTATCAACTAAAATTTGCCTTGAAACGGTTATTTGCATTATTCCCGTGTGTCTCCCTTCCAACTGTGCACAGGAAATTTAATTATCCCACACGTGTAATGAGCATCGACCCAAGAGGATGCACAGCTCGGTTATACATATATGTATTACATATATTACATATATAAATATGTGGCCTAAGAATTCTTGGAAAATTTTTCAACTCATAAATTCTAAATACATACATATGTACATCCTACGAAGCTTCTCTTGAGTTATCCAAGTTGTTTTCCAACAAACTAAATATTATACATATATTCACAAAACTTGCTGAAATTGCTATTTCCAAGTCTTGTGACGGTAAACATTAATAAATAAATAATAAGCGAAAGGCAGACCAGCTTCCGCTGCGAATTTGGCAAGGAGTATGCACATACATATCTTAACTTAAACTTACATTCTACCTGTTTTCTTATAAATGTTTTTGGTACTGAGTTATAAAATTCTAGCAATAATAAATAAATGTAATAAGCTCGAAATCAATATATGTATGTATGAATATAAATTCACAGGCACACAGATATCTAAAAACAATTATGTACAGGGTGGTTTAAATGTCATTCTACAATGGAAAGTTGTTCGATGGGAATAGTCCCTAAATCTCCATTAGTTACAAGAATTTGAGTTGAGATTTTTATAATTAGTATCAAAACTGACGACAAAATTCTTAAAAGGTTGAATTTTAGAGACATAATAACTAATGGAAATTTACAAGTCCTCCCCATTGATAAATTTGCCATCGACATTTTACATACCCTGAATATTTGTAGTTCAAACGGTAATAATGTATTCAAACTGTACTTCGGCATGGTCCAGTTCAGTTTAAAATTGTATGTAACTGAGGGTTTAAGCCTTAGAAACAGTTCGTTCTCAAACCGGTTGACACTCATCCCGGAGAAAATATTTGGATACTCAGAGGATCTAATACTATCAATTTAAGGCATTTCTAGAAATTTCTACATATGCATGACTAGTATTTATGTATATCGGTAGGTATATTATTATCGTGGATATATTCGAAGAAGATAGACCATAGGCTAACTATAAGTACTGTCAATTGGAACCCAAAAATATACTTTGGGGTGAATTTTTAGGGGAAGCATTTAGTCTTCGATTTTAACAGAACGGACAAAGTTGTTGGGAGGTGTAATTTTCCAGAATTTAACATATATTGAGTTGGGCTGATTAATTGGTTTTGAAGCAATTTCAAATCTTGACTCAATTGAAGAACGATCTTGTTCAAACTAGTTCTACCCTAAGATTTTTAATCCCCTGCAACTAATATTGTCCAATCGCATCATTACAAAGCTTAGAGTTGCGGCAGCAAGTCCGCCCTTCTGATATGGCCACCCTTGGAATTTGGAAACTTATCGATCTAGGCCTCAACTTATTCAACCATAAGTTACGCCTACTTCCCTTCACAGTATCGATTCGAGAGAAGGCATTGCACCTTCAACCAATGTCTAAAATTCGACGCTATTTCCTAAAGCTGTGCACCCTTTGTGTCGTCTTTCATACTCTGGTGTCGCTGACATTTTTGTGCAAACCTATTTTTGTCAAGCCCGAACGAACGGATTCGACCGAGGGATCTGTCAGAGTAGTTAGATTCTTTATGCTAGTATTATCGACCTTATTTCCACCCGCATTCCTCGCGATGAGTTATGCCATCTCGTTCACTCCCGAAGTGGCAGTGATCATTATAAATTGTATAGCGCAATTCCAGCATGAAACGAAAGGTAATTATTTGAAATGCTGTGGAAATAATTGTTAAGAATTACATTGGATGTGGGACCAACTAAGGAGTAGGGTGTCTCTATCATATCTAATAGCAAACTCAACTTTTTTGAAATTTCTGGGATCGCAAAAATGCAAATTTCATCCTAATCTGAGCAAAACTCGATTGTTGTGCCACAACTCTAGGGGTTTTGGCGTCTTTGAAGGGGTGTGGCGGGTGTAAATGGTCTCATGGAGGTTAAGACTGCTTCACGTTTTCTACACTCATACAGTACTGCTGCCAGGGTTCCAGAAATCTCATCTCACCTAAATCTCGCTGAGATATAATGAGAAATAGGTCATGAGCTAGAAGTTTATCTCATTATTTCTCATATTTCTCATTCAGCCCCAACTGAGATGATTGATATAGATCATTAAATCTCTCTAAATCTCACTAAGTGATATATACCACTTGCAACCCTGACTACAACACATCTGAAGGAGATCGAAATCTGAGACTGGCAACATGTAATACCCTACTCCTTAGACTGACATCTAATAATGCACGATTCGTAGTTCGTTTCGCCACAATTTTGCTACGGGCTCTTAACATACATATATACGGCCAGTGCAAGAAGCGTTTGGTTTAATTCCTTGGGTTATACATAAATCATTAATTTATCTCGTTTTTTTAAAATTTCAGAACTTATAGGTACCCTGAAAGCTCAGAACTACTTTGCTGCCGAACTTGCTATCCAATTAATGATATGGGTCGCCATCCCTATCTCATTCTCCGCACCAGTTGCCTTGGCTTACTTAAAATTAGACCCATTACATCTTCTATTTAACAATGAAGAGAATAACTTGAAAATCCAAATGCTTCTCAGGTCAATGATACTAATCGTTGTAGGTCTGGACGTCGCCAAAGCGGCGATAGCCTTCTTCCTTGTGGGAATGATGGTTACCTGTTCCATGAACGATATTTTAGAAGGTCTTGGCAAATCCAATGTTCACACCAATTTCGTTACAAGATTGAAGGAAATCAATCTATAGAAAATTATTTCTATGGAATAAGTACACCAATCAAAACTTCTGTACTTTTTCCGTCCCTCCACTAATATTTTTTGGACTTTCTGTCGTTATTCTGACATACTATGGAACAATTCGAATGGCGGGAAAAATATATTTCCCACTTTACCTCTTTCTCCCCACGCTTGCATTGCTTTCATCAATTTTTGTAATGATGTTGATCCCGTATGCGGCAAAAATTGTCGAGAATGCGGAAAATGTTATTTCGAGCCGAACGGATGATATAAAGTTAACGAAATTTGAGCGCAAAATGTGGGAGTCTGTTAGGTATTCGGGTATCGAGGTGGGTGCGTATGGATATGTTACAAAAGACTTGAAAATGCAGGCGCTGAAGCACATTTCGGAAAATACGATCAACTTATTGTTAACTTTTTAAAATGGCTGTAACAATTACATTGTACATTTTTATGCAAGCCCGGTATTTAGTTAACGGGCGTTACCACAAAGAACATAGTAAAGTAAATTATAATTTTAAACATAGGAAAGAGGAAATGGGTCGTACCTTTAGTGTTAGCAGAATACATATGGAGATACAAAGTCACACATACAAAATCGGATTTCCCTTAGGATTTCGGGGAAAATACTTTTGTTAAATTTATTTTTATAAGCCCCCGAGCTTCTCTCATTATACGCAATTCATTCGTATCCATACTTTTCATGAAGACTCTCTATTTAAAGACGAGGAGGAATGCAGTAATGTCGGGAAAATATGTACTGAAACTGTCAGAGGATTTCAGATCAGAAAGGAAAGACAGAGTGATGACGACTTGTGTGCAAGAGTAAAAGTAAGAGTGTCATTTATTACACCAGTGGTTTTTGCTTTTATACATACATGTACTTAATGCTAAAGGTTTGTACCTAACAACTAATACCTAGACAATCTACCTGGAAAATGCATTAAAAGGAGATGGCCTCAATTCAAGAAATAAAGTATTGTCCAGACAAAATACAAAACATCAAATTTTATGTATGAAAAGTTATTGCAAGAGAATCGTAAAGTCACAACAAATTTTTCTTGACCTAAATAGAACTTTCTAGAATATCATAAAATTAGACAAAACACTTTTTATCATAAAAACTTCCTCAAAAAATCATAAATTAATTTGCTTTAAGATTTTTAATTAGTGATATTTGCCAACCTAAACCACCCACCCTCCATAATTTGTGCAACAGATGCTGTCCCTCAACCAACTGCAATGAGTGCAAAATGCATCGCTAGATGGGTGAGAGAAAATGGTTTATCCTTCTCAGATCTCATGCTCATGGCTGGGCGACCACCATTATATTTTCTAATTTCATCCTGTATAGCACGAAGGCCTAAAGCGTCGCTGAATTTTTGCGACCGCTTTTGCCAAACTGGATAGATTCCAGATTCGTGAAACCACTTGAGATAATTTCCAAACACGTGACCCACCTCATCCCTGCAGGAAATCCACCCAGACTTAAAACTGACCAGAACGTTGTCATAATTTACTAGTTGCACGAACCTGTCAGTAAATCTAACAAGGCTTCAAACGTGCTCATATCTTTGGAACTCTGTACCGCTATGAAGCTAGGTGAAATTTGTTTAGAATCGACAAACCCAATGTAAGCAAGGGAAACAACTATTTGGTCGAAGACAGATATATCATTTTTAGTTAAAACTACCTCAACCTGTGCACCTAAGGGTTTGACCTTATTTACCAAGTCCATCACCGGAACCGTAAAGTCGTGAAGTCTTGGGTTATAAAACGTGTACAACTTGATATCACGTAGTTTTAGAAGTCCAACCAAATCCTTGGGCAAGTCAGGCTTGATATCAGCCATTAATAAGGAAAATAATAAATTTGTGTACGAATAAGTTAATGTTATCATCATTAATGACCATGTGACAATTAAGAAGGAAGCATTTTTAATCTTGCGCGGCAACCTGGCTTCAAAAGCATCCCAAGATTGTCCTATTGGTATCGAAAAAAGGTAAAATACAATTGAACCAAGACGTGTCCAACCTTCTTGAAGCTGAAAGCATAATACGACCGAGAGAAATGCTCCGGATAGGATAAAAGTTATCCAAACGTACTCCTTGAATGGCTTCGTGAGTACCAAACGTACCAAGACGAGCTGGGACTTGTTGACAAAAGTGGAATATAAGAGGTCATCGTAGGTGGCACCCTGCGAGTAAATATTGATTGATTCAGTGCTTGAAATGCTTTCGAATTTTAAAGTTTGGACGAAGCTGGATTTATGATTTCTTAATGGGCGAATGGACACGTTGGTTTTCAACAGGAAGTGAAACAATAAACATAATCTGGTATCCAATGCCCGAAACTGTCCAGATTCATAGTGGTATCCCGAAGCTGTATCACTACATGAGTGCTCAAGTAATTCGGTCGCATGTACAGCTTCACTAGGACCAATTCTGCCTCTGAACTCGGGAAAATTTGGAAGCGAGATGTACTCGTTATTTAAATCGTGAGATATAGGTTTCCAAAAGGAATGGTGTAAGATTGAAGTTTTGCATGTGTCCAGTCTGCATAACTGTGTGCAACTTGATGATCTTAAACAGTAAATAGCTTCGACGAGTTGACCTGAATTATTTGTGATTTGAAGAACAAAATTTCGAGAAATTGATATCGAATGGAGAGTCTGTGTAAAGCTGTGATTAGAACAAGGATCACTGATTGAATTGGAATATATGAAAATGCGAAATTGCGGGTGATTCGTAATCTTCGAAACGTTGCTGAGATCTAAAAAATTGGGGGCAACGTCCAAATTAGATACTTGACCTGAACAAAAATTGCAAATTCCACTCCTCCAAAGCACTTGAGGTAAAATTGTTTGGGTAAGTGGTTTGTTCAAAATATTTGTCCGTACAACGGGAACATGAAAATCTTGTGTAGTTTGGAATGTGTCTTTAAAATTGATGAGCTCCAGGCAACAGTTAGCAAAAATTTTGAAAAGACTGTCAAGAAGTAGCATATTTATATTTTGCTTTTTTGATAATGGAATTCCGTTTGCCAAGTATGCGCGTTTGAAAGGTAGCTGCCAATTGAACAATCATTGTCATTACTATAAAGGCTGCGCACGTGGGAAGATAAGTATTCATCTTTTTGATCGTAAACATCCGCTAGGATAATTCGTATAAAGTTTAGCATAATTGGGCCCACTTTTGAGGCACAATTTCGGACACAATTTCGCCCCCATGGTTGATCCATCAATTTTCGCTACACGTGCACCTGGTAAACCTGGTAAGCTACCTTATAAAGAAAATGAAATGAAAATACTTATTCATTATACAGACCAGTGGACAAGCAAGAATGTGATAGTTAAAATTTAACATGTTTAAAAGTTGGAAATTAAAGACAGTACTGAAACTAGTTGTATAACAGTAATTTTGTTATGCTGTTAATAAGACTCGTGCATATTGTCGTTACAACCCAATTTAATGACAAATAATGTTCATTAATTTAATTTGAAGAAAGATGCATGGATTTGGAGGCCACGGTTTTTATTAAAAATGAGACACTAGGTTTCGGAATGCTTATCTGGTCGTGACAAATTCGATAATTAAAATGAAAAACATGATGATTAATTTCAGTAATTTTCGGATTCTAGTACTTGCGGATTGTTAGCTAACAATGGAAATCTCCCAAAGTATGATTAAACATTTGGACCAAACTAGTTTCGATTGATGACAAATTTTCCTAAGGAAAATATAAAATAATGACTAGACTAATTATTAATTAAATTAAATTAATTATGCTAATAAAACTACATATGTAATCCAATCCACTCACAGGAAGAAATAACCCTAGTCTTTACAATCATTGTTACTACTGAATGCGCCATAAAAATAATCGAATTCGGTTTGTAGCCCATGAACGGGCAAATTTTAGGTAAGCGGAATAATACACGGACAAATTTCACATGCAATAAATTAGATTACTTTTTATGTAGAAATTTCCGGAATTTGCTCGATTTTACTGTTGTAGTTATTGGGTTGCATTCATTTAAAGAATCTACATATGTAATCTAATTGTAAACTCGGGTTTATCATTTATTTTGACAGTCTCCTTAGTTCACTTCTCTCTTCGATAATGACAGGCTTTGATGTCAAAGCTTTGAGAACATTCCGGGTAAGAGAAAGTTGAGATAAAGTTCAAACTTAAAGGCCAAATATTCATAATTATTAATTTTTAGGTACTTCTTCCTCTCAGACTTGTCTCAGGGTTCCAAGGTAAAATAGAACCCATTTACATGAGAAATTATTATGGGAACAAACAAAAACTTGATTCTACAAGGGGTGAGAAAATTTTTGAACTAATTCATGATGTCGCAGGCAGGTTTGGGCTGGACAATTACGGTCAAATTGTACAATCACGAATACAAATTGTTCAATCTTCCCACAGGTAAATGAGACAGGGGTTGCACCCGTTATAAAAAGAATCCAGTTGTCCACCAATATCCGCGAGTTGTGGAATGCTACCAGTTTTTTCGCATCATGGAAAATCTAAACAATTACAAAACATCGCGTTATGGTTGGATTCATGCATTTAATTTTTATATAACTACATAGTCACGAGGCGGAAAAGCTTTCGTGGGAGTATGCCTCCATGCATGACTACATATGTAAATATGTATGTACACACTTACAAGTAATTTTACCTATTTGAAAATTAAACTTTTATAAAGTTTCTAAAGCCAGGGTAACCTGACAAAGGGTTAAGTTTACTCTGAATTTGCTTAATTTAGAATTCAAAATACACACTTGAAAAAATTCGGTAATTACCCCCTGTCCAATAACAAGTATTACCATCAGCGGAAACATAGTAACGGTTTAATACCATTTCCTCCACCAAGTGGTAGCAAAGACTACCAGCCTGGTTAAGTTAAGCCTGAGTCCGATTTCATTCACCAACGAATCAGTATTTAGTCTCATGCCAGAATTAGGCTGTTGCGGCGCGGTAATAGTAGTGTCTACCAGCGTGGTAACAAAAGTGTTTCTTGGAGTGCATTTAAGGTACTTAAGGTTATTCTTAAGAGTGTTCTCCTTATGCATATTTGCATATACAGGGTGGTTTAAATGTCAGTTTACAATGGACAAATTTTCAATTGGAAAACTTCATAAATTTCCATTGGTTACGGATTTGGGATTGAGATTTTTAATAATTTTTATCTTATTTTATAACTTATGGAACACTGATGACGAAATTCTTAAAATATTGAATTTCAGAGGCAAAATTTTGGTAACTAATGGAGATTTGAGAATTTGTCCCATTGACAAATTTTTCATTCTAACCTGACATTTAAACCACCCTTAATGTAGAGTTTCATTTTAAATTGGATATGTATTACAAACAATTGTGGTAATTTGTTGCATATTATGTAGTTCCTACTCGTTTTCCTGCTTGTCTGACTAACAAAGAATTCCCACGATTCAGCGTAAAGAAAACCACGATTGGAATCTCTTACCTAAAGGAACGTCCATATATTTCGGCATAAAAAAACTCAAAATTTTAAACCACCCACCTCATCTCTACTCATGTTAAGCTTGACACTGCGACCCAACAACTATACGACCACTATTTTGATGACATTATATATGGACGTTCCCTAAGTACATACGTATGTACCCTCTTATAAAACTAGTAAGTATAACATTATGAAATATATTTCAAGGTAATCATGCCGCATGTACAGAGTTTTTTGCCATAAAATTCCCACGCAAACACATACCTATATGCAAATTTTGCTTGAGAACGTGCAAGCATTACGTCGTCAATAAAAAACGACTTGTCAACCTCCACATCCGTATACTCTAAGTAATCTGGAGACAAATCATCACCCGCGGGGGTATCATAAATAGTGTTCTATTGTATGGGTAATGATTTTTGTCACCATTGGGAAATAGGTCAAAAACGTGTGTATCCAACACTGTGTTTAATACACACGTTTTTGACCTATTACCAAACATTTTTATCTGGCTATAGGATCTTGTTTGCATAAAAGTACTGAATTTTTTTTAATTACGACGTCACGTGTGTTTGGTTCACGAATTTTTGTCTTATTTCCCACGCACCTTTTTGGTGACGTAATTTATGAACGCTCCTTTCTCTCGTATACACAGATTAATATGGAGTATGTAACAGGTCCACTTAAAAATGCTCAGTTGCTTTGCAGCATTACACCAAACTGGTGGTGGTTATCTGAACAGTTTGAAAAATGGTCAAAGTAACACTTATCGATCGTGTAATTTTCCACATTGTCCGATATTATGGATCGCTCCTGGGAATTTTGGGACGCGCCGTTACCCTCCCGTTTTTATGGGGATTCGAATATATTTTTGAAAAATGTTCCCGTAAAGTAGTAAATTCACCGGAAATGCATGCCAGAAAACTGAAGCATGCGCAGGAACAGGTGAGTAAATCTATATACATACATTTTTTGAAATTCTTGTGTTATATTCATATTTATGTGTGTACCTGTTCAAAAATTCAGTTTTCATTCAAAACTCAATCGTTCCGATTTATTATGGAAGATTTTCATTCACATTTGGTCATTTTCGTTGAAATTCATTTCATTTTTACTTCATCTGACTTCATTTCTTCCTTCGCCCCATGTATTATGCATAAGGTGAAAAATGAAAAGAGTGAAAAATCCGTTCACACTCTGAAATGATGGAATCTTTCAGTCATTTTCATTCACATGATAAGAATTTCATTTTCATTTTCCATCATAATCAATCAAGTGAATGAAAGTGAACAGGTACATACATATGTTTATGATAGTGGAAGATAACTCGCCGATGAAAATGAATTTTCTCGCATTTGAATGAAAATTATTGAACTATTTTGTCATATCGGATGAATGGCTGTGAATAACAGGAGTTTCCACTCTTTTCACGACTACATACTACACTAGAAACAATTCGTCACCCGCGCAAAGCTTTTTCATTAGCCACATTTCTAATTAATTAGTAATTTATAATTAGAAAGAAAATACTTTGTATAATTAATTGGTAATTAGTAATAAAACGCAGGTTGCTAATGATTTAGCAGATAATTTGTCACCGATAGAGAATAAGGCAAAATTGATGCAAATACAAACCACACATGACATTGCCATTTAAAAACTTGTCCATTTTTATCTAAATATGGGATACTGTTAGCATAAAAGTATTAAGAATTTTTTAAATGATGACTGTCTGTCAGGGACATTAATTTTTTCCTCATTTCCCATTTTTGCCAAATCATTGCCGAATAAACAAGGTCCAAAAAAATGGGAAATCTTAGTGAGGCAGTGCAATCACAACTAAAATTAGATTGCAGAATTTTTGCATCACCGCTCTCGGTACCATTTTATACTGGAAGCATTAATCACTTAGAATACTTGGCCCCCTCAAAGGTGATTTTAGAAATACAGAATATACAAATATATGAAATTGCAATTTTGTAAGTCACAATTGTTAATCCATTATATTTGATCTCAGTTAATTTAGCACACTTATCGTCCACTAAATATGTCTGTATGAAAATGCCCTGAATTCTCAAATTAATATTTAAGAATTCATGAGGATGCAAAGAAAATTCCAGCAAAAATAGAGCGGTGATGCAAAAATTCTGCAATCTAATTTTAGTTGTGATTGCACTGCCTCACTAAGATTTTCCATTTTTTTGGACCTTGTTTATTTAAAACTTGTATATAAATAAAATACATAGTTTTTCTGACGTATGATTCATGAATAAACGTTCCCTTATTTCGTTTCCGGAAACTGATTTCAATTTTCTTAAATCCCTGTACAGATCTCAACCTGGAACAAAAACGGGAGACGGACCAAATTATGTACAGGGAGACCCGGGTGGCAATCAATGTGCTTAAGGACTCCTGCATACAAGGACAGTATGACCGGGATTGACTTGTCCAAGCTGGATGACATCATTCAGATAGATGAAGAAGCAATGGTAAATTATTTAGCAATTGTTAAACCTAAAATGAGTGTATGTATGAAATTTATTGACGTGGTGATTGCCATGGGGACGTCAGTTAACAAGTAGCCATTTTGCGTTTCTTAAAAACTATTCGAATAAATACTAAAATTAATTCAATCGTGCCAATTGATTGGTGCAAAGTTATAACCGAATCATTATTACAGGGTGAGCTACTTCTACAGTTTATTAAGGGGTGAAAGCCCTTTATAAGATCGTTATGTCCGTCTGTCCGTCCGTCCGTCCGTCCGTCCGTCTGTCTGTCCGTAGCTCCGATAACTTTTGAACGAAAAGACATAGACACTTGAAATTTTGAACGTAAACTCCTAACGTCAATGGACAGGACGAGTTCGAAGATGGACACTGTGACATCGTCACCTGTGACGATGACGTCGTCACAGTGACGAAAAGTGACGAAAAAGTGTCACTTGTCAGTTTTGACATGTGACACGTCATTTGTAACTATTTTTCAATGTCAAATTCAATGGTGACCTCCATTTTGACCTCAGAGGTCATGTAAAGGTCATAGGACATATCTATTTCAATTTCAACTGAAATTTAACCCCGAATTCAATGGTGACCTCCATTTTGACCTCAGAGGTCATATAAAGGTCACATAAGGGTTATCAACTGTTAAATTTGACACAAATAAGACACAAAAGTCGAAAACACGTCAGAAGTGTCAATCTTAACAAATTTTCGAACAATTTGATATTCACATTGACGTATGACACTCCTTTCACCCCTTGGTTACATGCGTTGTAACGGTTTATTTTACTATGTAGACCATTACCGTCGAACCATTAGTGACGATGGGCCACATAACGAGATTCCTCACCCCGAAGGGATTGATGATCCCGGTCGTGCCAGAGTTTGACTTTCTGACCGTGGGGGGACTTGTGTGTGGGGCCGGGGTGGAAACCTCCTCCCAGAAGTATGGACTTTTTCACAACACGTGCGTTTCGTTCGAGGTGCTCCTCTGTTCCGGAGAGGTGGTTACGTGCAGTGAGGTAAACAATTGGTCGTGTTTTGGTCATATATCTACTTGTTCAAAAAGTAGTGCACCGCATGAATCCAGATTTGAGAGGAATCGGATTTACTTGAGTCCGTAAAACCCAGGATTTCACTCGTAATAGTAAATAATCAATCAGCTTAACAAACAGGGGGAAAATTCGGACCTATTCTATGCCATGCCGGGCTCCTATGGGACCATTGGATTCCTTACTGCTGCCACAATTAGATTAATAAAAGCGGAAAAGTAAGCCAAATAATTATGTATATTCCTGACAATAGCTTACACTCTAAATAAAAAATAAGTCAAATTTGCTCTATGAAGAAAGAGGATGACACAACCAAAAGCTAAAATTTGTCCAATCTTTTGCAAAATTTGCGCGACGTTTTGTCCAACGGGTGGATAAATTTAGCACAATTTTACCTTTTGGTTGTGTCATTCTCCTTTCTATATACTCAACTTTGAGTAAATTTAACTATCCTATTTTTATTTAAAGTGTACATATCACGACGAAACCCTTTGCCTAGCTTCACCGGGATTCTGTAGCGAATAATGTAAAAAATCCAGCCAAAAATTAAGAGCCACGTGACACTAATATTTCCTTTATATTGGGGGGCAAAGTCGCCCGTCTTGTTTTTCACCCCGTTGAGGAAGAATTAATTCGAAAATTTAACTTATTTATCTTCAACGGAAATATTAGTGCCACGTGTTTCATAATTTAAATTTTGGCCTAATTTACTTACATAACTTACTACAAAATCCTCGCGTAGAGTGAGAAAAGGGCTCCATTGTTAGTGTGAAACCCTGCATTTTTAGATTCGTGAAGCTTTCCTACCTCCCGGTGAACTCGTTGGACGAGGCGAGTCAAGCGATAAGGAAGGAATCATTAAAAAATCCGGGGCACGATTTCGTCGAGGGGATCATGTATTCCTTGCACGAAGGGGTCATCATGGTGGGAAGTTTCACGTCGAAAGCAGAACCTGGAAAGGTATTCCTTCATTTGTTCAAATTTTGTGATAAAAATATACTTTTTGTTCGTTACACTCTTAAAAGTAATGCTACCTTATCAAGCATTAACCCAAGACTGAAGTACATAAACTTCTCTAAATAAATCCAGAGGTGACGGGATAATTCCTCCCGTTCATCTTCCCCCATATCCTCCCGTTAATTTCCTTCCGTTCATCTCCCCCCCTTATCTCCTCCCGTTCATCTCCCTCCCCTTATCTCCTCGATCGATCTCTCTGGCGATCCCAATTGGTGAAGGTCGACCAGCAAAAGCCAAGTAGGCATAATTGGCTGATTGAGTTATTTTTGATTTGTAAATATATCCGTTTCTACGTTTTACATTTATAAATTACCGATTTTTTTACCAGGCTGTATTAAGACATTTCGGCATTTAAGAATTTTAAACTCAGGGTAAATTAAGATAAGCTAAATTAAGACATTTTTACCTGACGATTTAAGATATTCTCAGGGCCATTAAATTTTACCCTGTCTCCTCCCGTTGATCTCCACCCCTCCCGATCATATTTTCTGGTTTTACTGAATGTCTTTAATATAAATCCTCCCACATATCTCCCACATCTGTTGGAAAGTGAGTAGTTCCGATTTCTGAGCGAAGATTTTCATCCAAATTCAGTCATTTTAGTTCAAATTCATTTCATTTCATTTCTTACTTGGTCCCATGCACCCCGGTTTCTTCGTTATTAGGGTTGTGCCAGTTTTAAAATCTAGGTAGAACCCCTAGGTATGGGGTTTTCAATCCCAAAACTCCGGGGTGTTCGTTACCCTTACTACATAATTCAAATTCAACAGATAAACCCGGTGAATCGCTGGTACAAGAAATCCTTCTATAAACACGTGCAAGATTTGTCTCACTCCGCCCCAAGCGTGGAATACATCCCGCTCCGCGATTACTACCACCGCCACACGTACGGCATCTTCTGGATGACCCATATTCTCGTGCCGTACATCGACATGCCCGTCATGCGCTGGCTGTTCGGCTGGACGGCGGCAGGTGAGACGAACTGGTACAAGCTGATACCCCCATCTTTCAGACAATTCTCCGAGAAAATTGTGGTCGTACAAGATTTCATCGTGCCGATTGAAATAACTGAAAAGGCCCTGACATTTTTTAACGACCAGGTCGAGGTTAGTATTTACTTGGATATCTTGGAATGCGATGGTGTGAAGTGTAACTGTCGGATTTGGTTGAAATTTTAAAATTATCTAAGTGATCCAAGTCAACACAACCAACGTTTCTTGTTTGTTCGATGATTGGAATTTTAAGTCAAAGTTAAAAAACCGGTGACTTGTCCGTATAAATTGGAGTGGGGTTTGCTTCCTCCAGTTTGGTCAACTCGTACAAACTCGCTCAGCAAACCTTGTTTGTATTTACTGATTGGGACGACATGACGACAATTTTAAAATTTCAACCAAATCCGAGAGTTACACTTCACACCATCGCATTACTAAAAATAAGTGGTCTCATAGGGGAGTCACGACGTGTCCAGTGGTACCCATCATTTTTTGGACGCTAGATGACTTATTTAGTGGCGTGACGCCAAATTCACCAAAAACGAATGTTTTTAATTTTAAAACTTACAACTTTTGAAATCCAATACGACTTTTCAAAATTGTGGCCTAAAATTATGAAAAAAAATCGGATGTAGTGAAATTTTCCAAGAAATTGATTGCTTCAATGTTTTGAAAAATTTCTTGAACATTTTGGTTCGTGAATAAAATCGTAAAAATGTCTCTGATTATGTAGATTTATCCTGTCTGGCTTTGCCCCAGCAAGTCGTTCAACGAACCGGGATTTTTTAAATTTGACGAGAAATCGGACACGATGCAGCTTGACATTGGAATCTACGGAGTCCCAAAGAACCTCGAGGACTACGAGCTGGTCAAATCTAACAAAATATTTGAACAGTTCTGCCTCCAAAATAAATGGTAACAAATTTCTAAATTTATATAATTTTTTTCTTAGTTTTTGAAAAATTTTGAGCCGGCTCAAGACAACGTCTTATTTCGCATCGCAATGCAAATTTACATACAACCTTGGAAATTTTTTTATTCTTGGATAAAAAAATATTGCGAGGAGATTTGCAAAAAATGACTCTGCCAATCAGACATTGGCAGTCCACTAAAAACCCTTGTCTTGACATGGATTTCTGCACTTTCTCTTCCTGGTTTTTGCGAAATAATTTTGCGAAATAAATAACATAATCAAAATTGTTGGGCAAATTTTCGTTTTTGGGTCAAATTTTTTGTAAAAATTTCTCAAAATGTTTCCATCCTCAATTTGGAAAGTAAAGTTGAGTACGCCCTCAATTTTTCGATATGCAGCGGGGAAGTTCTCGAGCCATGTTTCTTAAAACTTGGGAAACGCTCTGGCGGAAATAAATTTTGAGAATTTTTTGAAAACGTTTCTTATCAAGGTATGAATACTCTCTATTTTTCATGTGCAGCTGGAAAGGTCTTTATGCGGATACGTTTTTAACCCGGGACGAATTTTACGAAATGTTTGATCCCACGTTGTACAACAAGGTTCGAAAGCAGCTCGACTGTCTCGACGCGTTTCCCGACGTGTACGAGAAAATTTCTGGAAGAATATAAGAACTCTGAGAACAATACTATTACCAGGCGGTGGATATAATTAAATTTCAAAATATTATGCCCTTTTATCAGCCCGAGAGGCTTTTAAAAAGTATTACTAATAAATCAAATTAGATCAATAATTAAATTTGTTGCGAACTGATCCTGAACTTGCTAAAAGTCATGGAAGTTAAATATTTAGTCATTTTCTCGAAATCTGGGCCAAAAATGCGTATGAGAAAGAAAGACACTAATTATAAAATACCGCTGCATTAGCCATATGTAAATATATATTGTTCCAAACCTTAATTAAATTACTAAATGAACTTTGATGGTCATATTAGTAACAAGTTACAAACATAACAAGGTATTTCAGAACACAAGTACGAAACGAGTTTTCAAATTGTTCTTGTGCTACAAATCGAAGATTAGTTAAAATTAAAATTAAAATGTAGGACGGGTAAACAAATAAATTAAGTTTAGCTTAAAAGATTAGCGTGACATTTAAAAAATAATAAAGGATAAAAATGATACAATTTGTGTCTCCAGAAATAAATTAACGACAAAAATAACTAGTTTAATTGTAGGAAAACTTTCCTTTTCCCAATTTTAATTTCTGTTGATTGGAAAAGCGAATACATATATTACGTCATCAAAGAGGTGGGTGAGTGGTATTATGTCGCTTCTTGTCTTACTTATGTTAAGCTCAACGTAGAGGATATGGGAGGGGACGTTGGGTGGTCTAACTAAAGTTGGGTTTCTGGATGACGGAATGGATGTTCCCTCCACGATATACATATGAAGCAATGTAAATACCCATAAAATCTAAACTTAATTAATCTTCGGAGTTTAATGCTACCAATAATTCATTAGATTCGATTCGACCGTAACAATAAAAAATCCGGAATTAAACTTGTTGTGCTGTCGATCTAGCTAAGCTTGCTAACGTAGGCACAAAATGTATTTCCAATTATTTGTTAAATGTTAGTCGTCTTGTTGATCATTTGTCCCGTAGAATATTTTAATTCCAAGAGTTCTTAATCTTCAGCTTGTATCTCAATTTGAAAACTAATTTCGTACTTCTGCTTAGTCACGTAAGTTGTAAAATTGTTGATATTAATTGCCTACGTGACTAGGTCTAAAATTTAATTTAACTCTACCTATAAAAACCCAAATCAAGGACATCCTTACCGTCCACTGTTTGCATTTCGTGTAAAAAAGCAACTTTATTTAAACATCAAGTCACGTTTTTTTATGCATAGATATTATAAACATTTTGCAAGGTAACACCATGGCCACCCTTGGAATGTGGCAACTTGCCAGGGTCTATTCCTACTTATATAACGATAAATTGCATATACTCCCTTACAAAGTATTAATTGCTAAGAAGCAAATTTTCCTTCTGCCCATTCCTAAGCGAAGACGTTATGTCATTAAATTCTGCACAATCTGCGTGTTTTGCCACATTCTGGTCTGCTTTGCTGCATTGCGTAAAGCCCTTTCTCTACAGACGAAAAATTCTGATTTTTATGAAACATCCCAAGCCGTGAGAGTAATCCGAATATACATTCAAGTACTCGTGGCCTTTTTGTCGTTATCGGTTTTTGCCATGAGTTACGTTATTTCATTCAAGCCGAAGGTTGCACCAATAATTCTAAACGGAATTGCACCCTTTCAGAAAGAAGCAGAAGGTAAGAATTCACATGAATATTTCAGATGAATTTGAAGTTATTCAGGATTTTCTATGGCATACTTAACTTCTAAATCTATCATTCTCGAGTGAATTTACTTTTCTAAAAGGGTTACTTTATTTTTTAGAGTAGTCTATGAAATTTCAGAACTCACCGGACCCCGCCGGCATAACAACTATTCTATAGTGGAACTTGGTATAAAAATCATGCTCGTTTTTGCTTTCTCCTTGTCCTTCCCGACACCTGTAATCATGGTGTACTTGGAAATTGACCCACTTCATAACCCAGTGCGGAGGAGCATTCTCGTCATTGTGATTAGACTTGTCACACTGGTCGTTGTATTTGTTGAGAGTATTAAAGCTGCCAGTGCCTTCTTTATCACTGGACTGATGGTGGCCTGTTCGGCAAGCGATGTTTTACAAGATCTAAGGAAAACAAATTTTTGCTCGAATTTGATCACGAGATTGAAGGAAATTAGCCTGTACAGAAAAATGTTTCTATGGAATAAGTACACAAATCAAAATGTGAGCTGGTTTTCCATTCCGCCCTTATTATTTTTTGGCATTTCCCTAATTGTACTTGCATGGTATGGTACAATTCGTATGCTGGGAAAACTGGAATTTCTAATTTACCTAGTTTTGCCTGTAATTGCGGTGGTGGCTTCATTTTTTATCACACTTTTAATTCCACCGGCCGAAAGGATTTTCGAGTATTCGAAATACTTGATATCCAAGCGAACTAATGAAGCAAAAAGTTGTAAATTTGAACGCAAAACGTGGAAATCGATGAGACCTTTGGGAATCCAGGTGGGTCAGTTTGGCTTAGTGGTCAAGAATTTTAAGATTTTAGCGTTACAATTCGTAGTGTAGTGTACTATTAATTTATTACTCACTTTTTAATTTAAGTGCATAGATACAATATAGGGGATTAGGGTAGGTTAGAATTTTTTTCCAAAATATTACAATAATGATATAAATAAAATTATAATATAAATACACATCTATGAAATACTATAGCCTAGTAGCGGCAACGAACCCAATTACTTGTAATATTGGTCATAAATTTGATTTATTTTGGCAAAAGGGTTAAATTGAAAGTTGTATAGTATTTGTGTTTCTTTTCATGAATAGAGTAGTGAATTTAGAGTTTTGAAAAGTAAACACCATGCTGAACTCAAGCACGTGGACGAAGAAGAAGAGTTGAATTTAAGCTCAAGTGACGACGACATGGAATCTGAAAGATTAGCAGAGAAATTTCAAAGTTGGTCACAGCAGTGTATGGACGTATCACCGCCACCAGTCAGGAAGACAATAGTAGACAGTAGTGTTGTGCCGACAATGGACAATTTGTCATTAAACCCAAGTGTTCCAGTGTCAAGTCAAACTGTGCCAGATTCTAGTGATTCTCAACCAGTGGATTCTACTATTAATAATGACAATTTTGCACAAGTGTTATTAATGCAAAGTCAAGCCATCGCCAAGATGTTAACAGATTCAAGTTCATCAAAATCAGACAAATTTATGGCCCGGCAGACAGCCGGAAGAGATTTGCCCTCCTTCAGTGGTCAACCTGAGGAATGGCCGGCGTTCATCGCGAGTTACCGAAGAACCACTGACATGTGCGGTTTCTCAGATGCCGAAAATATGGAACGCCTGCGCCGGTGCCTGAAGGGAGAAGCAGCAAAAGCAGTGCAATGTCTTATGGTGTCTCCGAACAATATACAAAAAGTGATTCAGATGCTCGAAGACAGATTTGGAAAGACGAAGCACATCATCACAGCAATGATAACAAAAGCCCGACAAGCAAATAATGTGAAAGATGATAAGCCGCAATCACTCATCGACTTTGGCACGACAGTCGTCAACTTGGCAGCAACAATCAAAAGTCTGCAAGCTGATGGTCATCTTAAAAATCCTCAATTATTGGCAGAGTTGGAGGATAAGCTACCCTACAGTATTCGAATTCGGTGGCATGTATGGAAGACAGCAAAAGCAGCCAGCGACGACATCGAAGAATTCGCCGAGTGGGTGGAGTCAGAGATGAAGATGGCTTACGAAATGGTCGCTCATTCACCTATAAAAGAAGGAAAGAAGAATGACGAGAAGACCGACAGCAATTTTAAGAAAAGAGGAGCTGGTGTTCATCTAACCGGAGAAAGCCAGCAGCAAACCGTATGTAATTTTTGTGGATTGCAAAATCACAAAACTTATCAATGCCGTAAAGTGAAAGAATTAACTGCAAATGAACGAGTTGTGTTGGCAGTCGAAAAGAAATTATGCCTTTGCTGCCTAACCGTTGGATGCTCGTCACGACGATGCAAAAATAAAAGAAAATGCGGAATTAACAATTGTGAGAAGGACCACAACAGATTGTTTCATGGATCCCTTCCACTCCGCCAATTGCTATCCAAGAAAGAAGATTTACAAAAAGAAGTCAAAAGTGATGAAGACTCTGGTCCGGCAGCTGACGCCAAGAATCAAGTCAACACTTTACAAGCCGCAAGTCTCAGATACATTCAGACAGAAATAGAAGGTCCTCAAGGAAAGGAAGTGGTACTAGCTCTGCAGGATGATGGAGCCAGCATTACAATACTTGAGGAGAAAGTACGAGAACAAATTGGAGCCATCGGTCCCACCAAACCTTTCTGTATGGCGACGGTGGAAGGCGACGGTTACTATCCCAATGCAAGAGTAATCGGAATGCGGATTCGTGGGGATTTTAGGAATTCACCACAATTCACGATTGGAAACGTGAGGACGATAGATGAACTGAAGCTGGCACCTGTTAGTCAAGATGCGGAAGCCCTCAAGAAAAGATATCCGCATCTCAGGAATATCCCGTTAGCATCATTCAAAAATATGAAGCCAAGAATGATTCTAGGAAGTTCTCATTATCATTTGATTTGCCCCTTGAAAGTGATTGAAGGCAGGCCAGGGGAACCAGTGGCAACAAAGTCTCGCCTCGGGTGGACTATTATTATTCCCGACGTTAATGGAATCCTGCCAAATATGAAGTCACATCAACTGAATCATGTCACGTTACAGCACGACTGCAAAGAGGACAGTGATGCTGAATTACACCGATTAGTGAAGAATTCATTCACTACCGAAGACTTTGGTGTCAAACCATTAGTGCAAAAGTTGAGGTCAAAAGAAGACCAACGTGCTATCGACATAATGGAATCTACAATGAAGCGATCACCAGACGGAGTGAGATATGAAATTGGCCTCCTCTGGAAAACGGATGATGTAATTTTACCACCAAGTTACAACAACGCTCTGCACCGCCTAAAGTGCCAAGAGAGGAAAATGGATAAGGACAGAACATTTGCTGAAGCTTACTGTCAAAAGATTAAAGAGTACGTGGATAAGGGATTCATCAGAAAATTGGATAAAGGTGAAATAGTGACCCGTCATTCTCGCACCTGGTATTTACCGCATTTCGGAGTGGTAAATCCCAACAAACCAGGGAAGCTGCGCCTCGACGACTATTTCTCATTTCGACTAAACTTCCATAAGGTCAGGAGGAAGTGATAAATGGTGAAATGAGGCCAACAAAACGACAAATTCTACGACTTGTCATGTCGGTGTACGACCCGCTCGGATTCCTCGGCCACCTGATAGTGAAGGCGAAGATCCTCCTGCAGGATGTCTGGCGAACGGAACTCGGCTGGGATGATGAAGTGACTGACTCCATCTATGAGAGGTGGACAAGTTGGACCACTGAATTACAAGAAATACCTGAAGTAAGAATTCCGAGATGTTATTCTAATCTCATCCCGACAGCGGATTCAGTCCAAATGCACGTTTTCTGCGACGCGAGTGAGAAGGCGTTCACCGCAATAAGTTTCATCCGAGTTCAGAAGAATGACACGGTAAATGCCAGTATTATTGCAGCAAAGACAAGAGTATCGCCGTTAAAAGTACTCTCAATTCCCCGATTGGAGTTGCAAGCCGCCGTTATGGGAGTAAGACTTACCGATATGATTAAACAAGAATTGGAACTCGTAATTCAAGACGTCATATACTGGACGGATTCAAGTACCGTTTTGAAGTGGATCCGATCCGACGCCAAAGATTTTAAGCATTTCGTGGCCCACCGACTGGGAGAAATATTGGAACTTAGTGACGTCAGCCAGTGGCGCTGGGTCCCAACGAAGGAGAATGTGGCTGATGATGCCACGAGAGATAATCAAAAATCCGACCTCAGTGCAACGAGCCGATGGTTTCATGGTCCAGCTTGGCTCAAGGAGGAGGAACGACATTGGCCCAAAGAAGTATCTCGCCAGTGTGACGACAAAGAAGACGACGAAGTGGAGATGAAGAGACAAGTTAATGGCATCCAACCAATCATCTCCGTAATTAAAATCGAACGATTCAGTAACTACATGACTTTATTAAGGACCACAGCTCGAGTGTTTCGCTGGGTGAGCAAGTTCAGGAAAGAAATGAAAAACGAAGTCACTGTTGCAGAACTCCAGAATGCAGAATTATACTGGTGTCGCCAAGTGCAGCAGGAATCGTTTGCTGAAGAATTGCAGAAGTTACACGGGGGGAAGACGCCTCCCAAGAAAAGCCGCCTCTACAGCCTGGATCTAAAGTTATCTGAAGAAGGACTATTACGACTGAGAGGAAGAACCGGACGAGCAAACATTCCGATAACAGTGACGGAGCCGATTATTTTGGACAATCGTCATCCATTCACTAAGCTGCTCATTTCCCACTATCATGAGCAGAACGGTCATCAAGGCGTACATGCTGTGTCAAATGAGCTACGCCAAAAGTTATGGATTCTCCATCGCATGTCAGCAGTTAAGAAGGCATTTCTCCAGTGTCAATTATGCAAAAATAGAAAAGCACAACCGTGCCCACCAAGGATGGCTGACCTTCCGGCTGTGCGATTAGACTCATTTATACGACCTTTTACCAATTCTGGCCTCGACTACTTCGGACCTATGGAAGTTGTGGTAGGAAGACGCCATGAGAAGAGGTGGGGAGCCCTCTTCACTTGTTTATCGACTAGAGCTGTGCACGTGGAAGTTGCGAATTCTTTGACCACAGACTCAGCAATCAACGCATACGCCGATTTGGAAATCGAAGAGGTCATCCATTTCACATTTATTGCGATAATGGGACCAACGCAGATGCAGAATTACAAAAAGCACTGCTTAGTATCAATGTTAATGGAATTTCTGAAAATTTGGCCAAGTCTGGAATCCAATTCCATTTCAACAGCCCAGCAGCCCCACATATGGGAGGACTTTGGGAGCTAATGGTGGGAAGCATCAAGAAAGTACTATCTAATATTTTGAGATCAACAAGGCCCCAAACTGAAGAAATACTTTACACGTTCTTAACGGAAGCTGAGAATATCGTCAATTCTCGCCCGTTAACTGAAGTCTCGCTGGATCCGACCGACCCCATCACCCTTACCCCTAATCATTTCCTATTAGGATGGACAAATGGATGTGGAAAAACATCAATTGAGCAGGAAACAATTGGATCATTTCATGATGGAGATCTTCTCAAGAAACGATGGAGAGCATCTCAACAATTAGCCGACATATTCTGGCAACGATGGGTCAAGGAGTACTTGCCAACCCTGACTAGAAGATCGAAGTGGTTCGAATGAAGAAAACCTATCCAAGTAGACGACATCGTCATCATTGTCGACGACCAAGCCCCAAGAAATCAGTGGGATATGGGAAGAATCATCAATGTCATTCCAGGCGCAGACGGACAAATGCGATCCGTGGACGTGAAGACTGCCAAAGGAAGCTATCGTCGCGCGGCCGTGAAAATAGCAGTACTCGACATCAAGAGTGATGAAGCTTCGAGTTCTTCAACTCCGCTCATCAGGGGGAAGAATGTCGAGAAATGAATTATAATTATTGTATGTGTATTATAAATTGATAAATGAATTGATATATGTATGTATGTATGAATCTGATAATTGTATGAAAATGTAAAATATGTATCACTTTTCCCTGTAAATTTTAAGTGATCCGCTTCTGGAAATTGCATCAGCTTTTTGCCAGAATATTCCAGAAGCAAGTAAGTATGTAAGAGAGACTCGAGGAGAGTTGTGTGAAAGGCAGTAAAAATAGTAGTTTTTTAATTTGTCATTTTAATTTCTGAAAATTGCTAAAAATAAATAGATTTTTCCTGTGTGAAATTGATGACTAGTTTCTACATTTTCCCTTCCACTTTTAAACTCACTCGGAAGTCATAAAAAACCCAAAATACGGTACGCGACGTGACCGCGACATAATTGAGGAAACTTGATTAGGTCCGCGACCGTAATACGCTCATTTACCGCAACTTTCAAATTAAGAGTATTATTAAACTATCTTAAATCGGGTATAATAAAGTGGTGAAACCAAATCAATTCTCTGTGTTCCCATTGTATCATGAAACATATGATCTTGAACATGACCTGAATCTCGGAAAAATGATACCCTATGCCCGATAGGCACTGCTTCTTTAATAGGTCAGTATTATCATCTTTTTTAACCTATAACTATCAATTTCATCTAAATCTGTAAAATATTGACGTCCCTGAATCCTTGTTGCCAGTTGATTTAAAATGATACCTTGCACTGGTTCCATTATACTTTATTGTGGCCCTTTCCTAATCTTCATGGGTTGCGGTAACGAGCTCATAAAAATAATCTTATAAATAAACGGACACCGTATACGCATAAAACGGGTTCACCACTAGCATGGGAAACTTCTGAGGTGCCCGTCGAATCCAGACTTCATACATACGCCAAAATCAGCAAAATATACGGCTTATGACGTAACGTAAAAGAATTAACATGCAAAGGTTACTATTCGTCAAGTTGTGGCGATACTTGTGACGACCGTGGGACAGTGGGGGCGAAGAGGAGGAGTGAGTGAACGATTGAGAATGAAGCGACGGAGTGTTCGTTGACGTTCACAAAACGTAAATAGTGGCTCGTATGTATGTGTATGTATTATGTGAAGAGGATTTCAGCCCATGGGGGCAGAAGTCCAGCCACGCAGGTCACCAATTGGACCTATTGCAGACACCTCAATGCACTCGCATGCGATTATTGTGTCCGAGTCTCTCGATTCTCCATCTACAAAGCTGGTGAATCTGAAAAAATCACATATATCGTCACAACTTGACGAATAATAACTTTTACAAGTTAATTTCTTCACTTTTCGTCGTAAGTCGTATGTATATTGTGCTCATTTTGGTGTATGTAGGAACCCTTCATTCGACAGGCACCTAGGAAGTTTCCCTGGTAAATAAAGAAACACTTACGTGTAGTTTAACGAGTCTGCCAGCTTAGAGTTATACGGAAATACCAAACTGTAATAGTCATTCATCTTAATGTTCATGGCGACCGGATAGGTCTTTCGTATATTTTTGTATCCTCTGGACGCATTTATTGGAACCAAGGCCAGATCAGCTTCCTGGAATTACACAAGATTTCATAAATTGTGGTAAAATAGATTAAAACGCTGCATAGTCTTTAATGAATTTTAATATCTTGAACTGCCAACTAAAATTTCGGCTTCTGACACTGGCTATCATGCTGTAAATAATCTGGTAATGAACATTACCGAAAAGCACAAGTATATGTATGACTCTACCATAGTGGTAATGACAAGTTGTACCGTGTGGTAATGGCTTGTAATAAAGTTTTACTATCATGGTAACGAATTTTTACGGCCTCGTTAAATATTATTACCAAATCTATTACCGAGAAATCACTACCTGCGTGACTTTACCGGATTAATAAGAGGATAATTATCTAACGGGAAGTGACTTTACAAGGATTGTATGACTGTCCGAACAATGGATATGTCCAAGTTTAGAATTTTCCTGACCTACCTCACCACTCACGATGTTCATAACATCATCCTTGGTAAACGATCCATTACTGTTTTGATTACTTCTGAAGGCTGAAACCTCTTGAATTGTGCAATTATCAAGGTTCCGTCCACCATATTGATACATCGCGTGCAGTAGCTCGACCAGGAAGCCAGTGTAACATGGGGAAGAGCGACACGACGTTTTATTTACGTTTCCTGAAGATAGGCACGAGCGGTTTACAATTACCCAGGGATGGTCCTAATAGATATACGCAGGATAAGTAAATTGCAAGGGAAGAATCAGCATCGATCTACTTGGGACACCAGTGACTCAGTAATCAATATCTCACCCACCTCCATTGTTACAATTTTATGAATTGGGGGATGGGCTGAAATAAACGAATAAGAGACTTTGTTACAATAGTGTACAACAACAGTGTCCTAGGATAAATTATTGCACAAGAAGAATAGACCCGGGTTTTTAGTATATATATAAATAAGCCTCCAAAATCTGTGTGAAAGGCAGATGTATTTCAACCTTGCGCGCGGTTCGTACCTTGTAAAAGTACTGAAACTCGAGCTGACTGGCAATGATCCAATAAATGCATACTGAAAAATATTCACAATCCCATAGTTTCTTTATCTTTCATATTTCTATGTGTAACAGATTAAAAATAGAAAGAGAACTACTCAATTGATCAACGACGTATTTATGTAGTGTTATTAAAATACCTACATTGATAAAGTATTATCGCACAGATCGTTCTGGTTTGTGGATCCGATTTAGCAAGAGCGATATATATATGTCAACTTTACGGTGCATGAATGCAGAATGCTTAACATAGAATTTATCGTGTGCAATTATAAGTCGCAGAATAATTCTGGACAATTCCCTAAGAAGCAGTGAGTCACTATTCTTTCTAGAAGAATTAACTATCTATATTATAATTTCGAAAAGTCCGTCCCGTGAAATTTTCCGTGACATCCCAGCATTCTGATTGGTTGCCAGCTTTCTGAATCCGCCAATCACAGCACGCATGTATTTTCGGGTACAATTTATGTAGCTTACAACCGATGTTACAATCGATGTTACAATCGATGTTACAACCGATGTTATAATCGATGTTACAACCTGTGTTACAATTTATGTTCAAGCAAATACCTTAGGGACGTAAAAACATTAACTTAGAAACGTACAAAAAATCCATCATCAACGCCTTGAAAATTCCTTCGTAATACAAAATTTCCTTCGCAAAGTTACAACAATTCCTTAGCAACATAAAAAAATTTCCTTAGCAACGTCAGAACAAAATCCTTAGCAACATAAAAAAATCCTTAGCAACATAAAAAAATTTCCTTAGCAACATAAAAAAAATCCTTAGCAAGGTTAAAAAATTCCTTAGCAACGTTAAAAGAATTCCTTAGCAACGTTAGAAAAAATCTTTAGCAACGGTAAAAAATTCCTTTGCAACGTTATAAAAATTCCTTAGCAACGATAAAAAATTCCTTTGCAACGTTAACAAAATTCCATAGCAACGTTAAAAAAGTCCTTCACAACGATAAAAAACGTCCTTAGCAACGTTAAAAAAATTATTTAGCAGCGATAAAAAAATTCCATAGCAACGTTAAAAAAATTCCTTAGCAACGTAAAAAAATTCCTTAGCAACGATAAAAAATTACTTAGCAACGTTAAAAAATTCCTTAGCAACGTTATAAAAATTCCTTAGCAACGTTAAAAAAAATTCCTTAGCAACGTTAAAAAAATTCCTTAGCAACGTTATAAAAATTCCTTAGCAACGATAAAAAATTCCTTAGCAACGTTAAAAAAAGTTCCTTAGCAACGTTAAAAAAATTCCTTAGCAACGTTAAAAAAATTCCTTAGCAACGTTAAAAAATTCCTTAGCAACGTTAAAATAATTCCTTAGCAACGATAAAAAAATTCCTCAGCAACGTTAAAAAATTCCTAAGCAACGTTTAAGCAAGGTTTAATATATTTGGATGTGGTATGTTTCTTCTGGAATTATAATTTCGATACAGATTAATACATAACATTATATAATGCTTGCATCTAATGATTTACGTTTGTTGGCTTAAAACTTTAATTGTGGACCGTCTTTAAGACGGGCTTATAGGCTAGTATAAATATAAATGTGCAACATGAATGCATAATTGTGGAACTGAGGCAAAAATTTAAAAAAATGTGACATATGTATAACAAATTCAACTACGCTGTTCGGTTCTCAATAGTAAAGCAAATAAAAGTGTGACATGACAGAAAATATTAACATCATAATTTTAACATTTGGTATGTATGTAATTAAACTTATAGGTACATACGTTCACACATCCGCCCAAAGAATCCATTTGGGCATCTGCAAATTCCATCCCGACATATCGTAACGTTGGAACATTTAGTGACCGAATCACACCTTTTCCATAGACCTTCTACCTTAAGACTCCCTTGACCTGTTGAAACAATATTTTTTATAGAAATTTATCACTTATCACCTTATACATACGAGCGATCAATTCAAGGAGAAAGGTAATGATCAAATAATATATATCTGTGTAGATATGAAAATTTACTATGGTTAAGAGACTAGTTGAATTACAACTTACAATGCGATGACGCCAGCGGTCTCGCTCCGATTTTGACGAAACCACAATAATTGTACAACATTAGATAAATAATTAAACACGTGTTTCAGGATTTTTCATAATGCTCAGTTTAAACGAAATTATGATGTATGTAACATACTTAATTTATGGTCAAAATATAATTGTAAAAGTCAAAGTCTAGCAAAATTTGCAATGACTTTCCATTTGACGGTGCTTTATGATACACTTAAAATACGTTGAATGAAAAATATGTATCAGAAATTTTGAAACAAGGGAGCTAAGTTTTGTACCAAAAATTCCATGCAAATTAAATATTATTTTCCGCATTTTCACATGAAATCTTTGGAACAATTAACCTTATTGTCACCCATATTACTGAACCACCCGATTGTCCTCGTTACACAATAATTTTTTACACTAGCGAAAATTTCAGCGATCACTGTACGGAACATGATGACCAGGGGGAAATCCCTTCCTACCGATATCTTTTTCCTACACTGGAATATTCGTATTCTCCTAGCAACCAAGTTAACACTTTGACATGTTCCCGATTAATAAAAGCAAGACAAGTGTTCTTGATTATATAGCATTTAAAATCTGGAATAATGTTAGGGGCAAATATTAAAAAAAACTTATTTTGTCACCTTCCCCAAAGCCATCCGACACGAAAGAAATTAGGAGCCAGACCCCTACTCCAACCAGGATTTTTTCAACGAGTGACATCTCGAACCAATAGTGTTAATGATGGACTTATCTCTTAGAAATATTTCTATCACCACGGTTGGTTGCGTGTAGGGGGGGTCGAAGTTATGAGTCTAACTCTATAAATTTGACAATACCTCTGGATAATAATGAATTTCCTTTTTCTCATTTCGTGCAATGCAAGTTACCTAATTGATTTTCAGTTTTATGTAAAGTTTGCCATGTCATGTCAAATTATTCCTGTCGCAGATAAGATTTAAGAATACAATTTGCTTAAAAAACGATTTTGGAATAAACCCAATCCTTTACAATTTGGCACGAATGGAGTTATGCGAATAAATATGTACACGGTTTGCCTGACGGAATGATGGTACTTAATAATAGAATATAAATGATAGCCTTAAATGAGTACTATTAAAAGAGGGCTGGACTTGTAATTTTTTTTTCTTTTATTGCTTTCGTGCACATTATAGGAGATAGCAATCCTTTCATTTTTATTGTTGTAATTATCTCGATTTTTATTTGCTTATTACTAATTTATTATTATGTAGCTACATAATTTGTTTAAGTTATTGGAATATATCATAAATACTCGTCTAATGTCGGAGTGGGGGGGGGGATTAATTAAGAATCGCACGCATTTCTGTAGTTAGGGTAGGTCGCGTCCCACTGAGCATGCAGATTTGACAAATGACTTATATAAATCCCTTGATAAAAGAAATGCTATTGTTATCGATTACTTTATTGGCATAAAAGCACGTAAGCAACAATGTATTACATTAATCGGCTACCATGATGGTAGTACCATCTGTCACGCTTTGATGTATGTAGGTATGTATGTCTTTATTGCATAAATGGCCAGTAGCCGTTGCAAATCACTAATTTTCATTATTTACAATATTTGAGAAAAATACATTAAATAAGTTTTAAAGATAGTAAGAACAGAGATCAAAATATTTTGAGACATAACCTATACGCATTGATGTATGCGAATAAATATGTAAACCGGTCACCTGACAGGAAAGAGGTGAGTGTTCGACCAAGCGAAAACGCTGCTTGCTTGGTTTCTTTTTTGCTGTTTAAAGCAGCTTCTTGCTTAGTTTGGAAGCCTTATAGATTTTTATTAAAATACAGCGATTGCGGGCTGGTCCGTGGCGCCGCCCAAAAAGAATTTTAAAGCAAAAAATCAAATAAAAAAAAACAGCAAAATCATCTCAAATTTCTGATATATTGCGTTTTATTAAGCACTGAAAATAGTAATATTACAACAATGATTAATATTTCAGAAGACCCGGCTGGTACAATTAAGTATTACTATTTGAACTGATAATGCTTATAATTAAAAATAGCTTCCTTCCATCCTTACACATTTAACAACACGTACGGTGAATCCTTTCTTTTGTTGTATGTAAGAGGGTTATCTACTCTAGTGAAATACAGTATACAAAATATATCTTGTGCGACAGAGTCGCAACTTATCTTGCAACTGGTATCTGAACGTTTCTGAAAGTATGTTTTGCATCTTCGATTTTGGCAAGGTCAGGTTTAATTTAATGCTAAATACATGTAGGATAGTTACAATTAAAATAAGTTTAAGTATAAGTCAAATTATGTTATTCAGTTGATATTTTTTATGTTTGTACACTTAATAATCGGGTAAAATGCATTACCAGGCAATGGTTAATCCACCACGGCCTTGTTAATAAATTTGTCACCTACAGTGAATTACCCACAAATAATAGGTTTATCTATTACAACGCTGGTAATATTGTTCACTTCGCGGGTGTACTTATGGTACCAAATTTAGTACCAGTATTTAATAAATCATTACCGTAACTACAGGTGGAATTATACAGGGTGGTTTAAATATCACGCTATAAAGGAAAATTTTTCAAGGGGAAAACCCCTAAATCTCCAATAGTTACAAGATTTGGGATTGAGATTTTGATTAATTATTATCAAAATTGATAGCAAAATATTAAAATATTGAATTTCAGAGCCCAAATTTCCGTAACTAATGGAAATTTACGAATTTTTCCCATTGCCAAATTTTTCTTTGTAGCGTGACATTTAAACCACCCTGTATATTATAGGTTCCACGGATAAGATCTAAGACTTTTCCGGATTATTTTGAGTGTGTGAAAAATTTATGGTTTTTTAGATTTATTTATCGCGGCCACTTTTTCCTCCAGTTCCGTCAAAATGGCCACCATCCTGTTCAGCTTGGCCACTACGTCTTCCTCCCATTCAGCAGCAGCTTCTTGGTCTGAAGAGGGAAAAATATTGAATAATGTGTGTAAACATAGAAGAGAACGTGTAAATATGTACACTATGAGAAACCCAGTACCTAAGTTATTACCGGGCGGAGTATCTATGTGACTCTACTGCATGGTAATTAATTGATTATTGAGTGGTACACGTTTTGTTACCCAACCAGTAATAACCCCGGTCTCGAAATTTGAAAATATTACCACTTCGTACCTAATTTTCTACCTCTCAATAATAAATTAATTACCATGCGGTAGAGTCACGTAGATACTCCGACTGGTAATAACTCAGTTACCGGGTTTCTTACATAGACTGTGTACAAGAATAATTAATTTTCATTTTTACCTTTAGTGTCGTCCCACCAGACTAAAATTTCGCCAACAATATTTCCCGCCGTGTAAGCCAAATACCAAAGGAAGGCCATGATCAGCCCTGTTACAACGTATGAAAACAAGGATACATTATTCTCCTTCGGTGCGAGGTACGTGGCTCGAACGAAAAGTATGACACAGGGGACGACAGGTATTACATTTTTAATCAACTTTCTCCAAGAATTTGACCCTTGGCTGGAAGTATTTCTGGTTTCATCCGAGACGCCTTTTCGATTGAGAGAAATACAAAATTAATAAAAATATCGTAAAACATCATATTTTACATTCGTGTAAAACTTAAAGTTAATAAACTTTGAAATTTATGCATACTGCTTTTATCGGAATATGTAAAAACTACGTTTAGATTTGCAACTTTTTATATAAAAGAAGAGAGTTGACTAATGAAAAAAATATATTTCCGGCTTAAACCAATATGTAAGACACAAGGGACTTGTAAATTTACTATTTTTACAAAATCTTGAATAACTTTGGCATCTTTTCTAATCATTGAAATTTCTTCGGTTTTTCCAAAAATTAATAAACTCCGAAAAAAAGTATTATTAAATAACCCCAAAAAATACATTACTTCTCACCCTCTGTTCGACCCCGATTTTCCCACAGGTTCGCAATAATCCTTCCCGAGATAAAGAATAGCCTCCAGAAAATCAAATCCGTCACTAAAGTTTGCCCCGCGTTAAATCTCAATAATAAAAAATATTTGGGATCCGGTTTAGTATATCGTTCCTTAAAAAGTACCAAGATTAAGACAAACACCCAAGTTTTGAAAAGGAGACGAAACCAAGATGTAGAATTTGCCTGGCCGGCATTTATTCTTTTACGGGGACGGGTCGTAAAATGTATTTCACTTGGTAATAACTCGTCCAAATTTGGTGGCATTGTCCAACTTTGAAATATTTAAGGAGCAAAGCAACTTTGGGTTTTTTGTTTAGAAAATGAACGAGTAAATGAAAATCTACTCGTGAAAAAGGAGAGGAATTATGAATGTGTGAAGAGAAAGTGGCCCTCAAGGGAACTAATGAAGGTCTTGTATTTATAAGGAAGAAGGGGAAAAATGTTCCTTACGAAGGACCTCGTAGAGTATGTAGCAATTTAAGGAACGTCCATATATTACGGCAACCTCTTAGTGCGTGGTGGTTTAGATGTTCTTGCCTATGCCATGTTAAAGCTACATATATTTCGTAGTGTATATTCAAGGTGGGTGGACATAGAACTTTTGATGATATGATACATACGTGGGTGTTTTATTATTGATTTTCAAAAGGTATGTTCCGCACTGTTTCTGACCAAAATTTTGATGAAATAACAAACTTGAAATACATTTAGGAAGTCGTGATTTTTTTCAGCTCAATCGGTTAAAAGGAACACCCGCAATAAATCATCCAAATTTACCTCGAAAATATGCAAAAATTTACGACTTGATTCCATTATCATCCCAAAATCGTTTCCCCTTCATGCTTTTATTCAACGTTTGAAACGGATAATAATCACTAAGGTTCAAGGCTGGACTGTACGGGGGGTGGTTTATGACGGTGAAGCGTTTTTCGTCTGCAGCAGCCCTCGAAACCAGCGAGGTATTTGTTCGCGCGTTGTCGTCTAAAAAAAGGCCAACTCTTTATTTTGACCTCACGTTTCTCTTCAACCGCAGCACGCAGCTCCGTCGGGGTTCCTGCATACACGGCCACATTTATTGCAGTATTACCAGCAATAAATTTTATAAGGAGGGGACCTTTGGTATCCTTGAAAATGGTCATCATCAATTTTTTTGTCCGATTTTTGCACTTTTCAATTCATGGGGGGTGGCAACCCCCCGTGCTCCCATTGCATGAAGTATTGTTTAGTCTGCAGGTCATAATAGTAAACCCAAGTATCATATGCAACTACTAAAATATGAAGCAGGTTCCAGTTTTCATTTAATAGGTTAAAATTGGCATTGCAAAGGTCAACTCGATCTTGTTGTTGAGATGCCGAAAGCAATTTTGGTACCCAACGGGCGGAAGCCATTTTCATACCTAAGTCTTCAGTTAACGTGGAACAAATTGTTGGTTTTGGAACACCCATCTTATCTGCTAAATAGGACAGTTTCAATCGTGGATCTCTAATTATTGGTTCCTCTAGTTTCTGCAGCCTTTCTGTGGAAGAAACTGATTTTGGGCGTCCTGGCGACTTTTTGTCCGAGACCACTTTTCGCCATCATTTGAAGTTACTGACCCAATTTATATTGTGCTTTGTGTTGGGCAGTTTTCATCGTAAACTTTAAGCATGCGATCATAAATCTGCGACACCGATTGCCCTTCCAGCGTTAAAAGTTAAATCACACTACGATATTTAATTTGCAAATCTGACATTTTTTCCGTCGAGGTAAAGTTTGCTGATTTATTGCTAGTGGTGATGTTAACCTAAAGAGCTGAAAAAAATCACAGCATCCTAAATGTATCTGAAGTTTGTTATTTCATCAAAATTTTGGTCAGAAACAATGCGGAACATACGTTTTGAAAATCAATAATAAAACACCTACGTATATGGATGGCCCTTATGTTACACTTGAAGTGGCCCAGGGTCTCGGTATCCCAGTTGGCTTTACGTTTAAGTAGTGGTTTGGTATATATCGCTAATAATGTTATAAATAAACCTTTACAACACATTTAACCAAGGGGTGAAAGTATTTATGTAGTGTTTCATATGTTAAAATGAAGCTGATATTGTTTAAATTTCAGTAGGAAAACTGTTATATCTCACGTGGTTTCGAAGTCCGTGACACGTGTCAAATTTGACGTTTAGTTCGCCTGCGTGACCTTTCGAGTGACTCGAAAGGTCACGAAACTAGAAAGTTTCGAGTCCTTCGGGGGCAAAATTGAGGTCACCATTGAAATTTGAGGTAAATTTATTACCAAAGTGACTTATGTATGTATGTATCACCAAAATTGACAGGTTACTGGTTGCCGCGTACGTTCTTTGAGTCAATTAATATTTTCACAGTTACAGTTGCTTAAATGTGTTAATAAAATTGTTTCTGATAATACTGCAAATATTGGTGACAATTTATTACTATTTTCTTAATTCCTATTTCTCATTAAAAAGTATAATATTCCAGAATTCGGACACACTGTGCTTGATGTTTACATGAAAATTGATTTTTCTTTAACCTAAAAATTCTTTCGGCTTATATATTTTATACGTGTGTTTCGATTCTTTACATTTACTACATAGCCACAACCACTTCCAGAATCGTCTCAAATTATGAAATACAGCAAGGTAACGCTTCTTATAAAATACACATTCCCCCAACCCCACTATATACGCCAGCGAAACTATTATTGCACAAAGTTCAAACATATATTTCATCACTGCTAATGCCACCGGATCTGCCGACACTGTCCCCGCACCCTTTCCACCTGCCATCTCCATTCTAAACAACTTTGAGTACGAACCGTCCCCAATATTAATGACTACTTGTAAATCATACAACAAATTTTCCATGTCTTCCCACTTCCCATAAATTCCGGACTCGATTAAAGATTCCATTCCGTGGGAAAACTTTGCCACAAAAAAGTTGCGCAAGGCCACGTCCACCTGAATATATTGGAAATTGGCATCTTTCAAGTGCCCCTCAATGATTTTGCGCTTTCCTAGCGTTTTCATTGTTCTGGTGAAACGATCCAACTCTTTTTTTTCTATCGATAACAGCCAACATTCCCACCGTATTGATGGACTTGTTGGCAGAATAGGTTTCTTCAGAGTTTGAAAGCCGTGTGGCCAACTCACCCGTGAAGATGTGGTAGGAGTGGACAAAGATTAAATTTTCCTCAAGTTCACTAAGCTTCCTGGCAATGGTGGAGTTTTCGGGAAATTGATGGATCAGGGAGGGAAGAATGAAGTGTTTTAGGACTGAACTGTACATTAAGGTTCCATTCGGTCCGACCTTATCGTACACGAGGGACATTGTTAAAACTTGGAGATTAGAGGACACGATATCTGCCACCGTCCTGGGAACGGATGGGGGTAACATGACCGTTAAGCAGGAATAGATTGATCCTTGATATAAATTTCCCATTAAGATGTAACAAAAAATGGACCAAATTACGGCGATCGTTTTAAAGTTAATTTTAACCAGGTAGAAACTACTCTGTCCAACGAGTTGGGTAAGGAGGTGAAAGATTGGGTCAAATTTTGGCAGTTCTAAGGGTTTAAACTTTAAGATTTTTATGTCCATATGGATCACCATAGCAACGAGGATAGTTGACACGTATAAAAGAATCCAGGTGAGGTGGTCAAACGGTGAAAGTAGCGTGTCCACGGACCCCTGCCTTGAGGGGAAATTGGTCACTATGGTTAATCCAAATTCCTGAATTTTTAAAACTAGCGGGGTAAGTTGGTATGGTCCGATGTCGACATAGTCCTGGTTTAGTCCCAATCTGAAATTGACCCTACCAACGACTCGAGTTTCTTCCAAGTTCGTGTGCCAGGGTGAGTTTGTGGTAAAATTGTACTTTCTCCCGAGTACGGCGATCCCACAGAAATCTGGATATTCTCGTGGACCCATGTAAAATATACTGGGGCCACAAGAGATCTGAGTGGGTAACGGAAATACCTGCGTTAGTATAAGAACAGCCGTGTTCTGCATGTCCTTCCCATTCTGGGCGTCCCATGCGTTATTCAGGTCGTCTAGTGTGGTCAGATTAGGGGGGAGTTGCTCAAATGTTGAGCTTCTTGGGATGGACGGGATCCAGGCAATATTTCGGGTTGAGTTATATAAAAATAATTTCGAAGTTCCCGCCATGTTTGGATACCCTTGAATATAATCGGTTCCCATATCTGGGTAGTTTTCTTTTATATTTGCAAATATGTAGGAAGGATTTTGAATAAATAAAATTTGCCAAAGGATCCAATAATTCGAAACATCAGTCGAATCTAAATCAAAGTTTAGGAACGTAACGATCCGTCGTGATGACCTCTTCGTGGGAAAAGTTTGGTTAAAATAAAATTCAATGTTATCGAAATTTTTTCCAAGTGCGGCACTAATGATGAGTGGGGAATAAATATTGTTGCCTCGAATTGTCTGGAAATATGGGGGTGTTTCTGAGAACGTTAAATTGGACCTTGTGACAAAGTAGAGGGTGCAGTTGGCAAAAATATTTTGAACCGCTGAAGTATTACAGGATGAATTTGTAGTAACTAATAAAAGAAGGAAGTAATATAACTGGGTTTTTTAAAAGGGATGCATTTTAAAACTATTATACCCTACGCTATGTAATTTGTAATGAAGGCTGTAACAAAAAAATATTGAATTTTATAGATAAAATTGTTTTTAGTTCCGGTCAAAGTAATATCGGGTTACGATTTTGCATTTGTCTTCTTATACGTACGTCAACTGGAAATATGGACAAACTAAGGTTCATGTCGCTTGCCACGTGTAAGCAAAATATATAGATTGCGTGATAGCTTTTCTCATGGACGGCAAGAAATTTGTAAACAGCTTAGGTTGATTAAAGGCATAGGTATGTATATATCTTAAATCTTTATGTTAAAAACTGCACGAAATCTAAAGGTGTTGCTGACATGTGACAAGCATAAGTAATTATTTACTGGAATTAGGTATCATAGTTCCAGTAAATAAGAATTTTCCAGTAACTATAATTTTTAATGCATACATCGTGGATACACTACCAATATAAAAAACACTGAAATCTACAAAAAACAATATATATAAGAGGTGTGGATATTAAGAGTGTGTTACGGTGACAAAACCTAAAACTATAGATTTCTTCAAATATATGTACGTTTCATCATTGATTGCTTTTTGTCCTACAATGTAGACACGCACAATTATTTTCACTCACAAGATAGGATATGCTCTTGACAAATATGAATGAATGAATGCAGGAGATTTCTTAAGGAAAGCTTATTGTCTGCAAGGTTTTTATTATGTTGTTATTACTTACGTTCCAAAATATTATACAAGTCCGTTAAGAAGAAAATTGAGGAATCTATTCAATATTATCTATGACCCATACATAAGAATCGAATCCTTGTAAATTTATTATACACATTTAAAAAATATCTGTACCATATAAAATGGGGTAATTAAATAAATATAGATGTACATATAAATTTTATAAAATATCTGACGGGAAGTGACCAAAAAAATTATGAAAAGTGAGAAGGGAACAAATCCAACTGATTTCAAAGATTTAGTTTTATTCACCAAGCGACGCGTTTCGCAATATAATTCAGCTTCATCAGGCTGTAATAATACATATTATGTCAAAATTAGCTATAATCTTAATTAAATAATAATAAAAATTGGAGAAATGTATGTGCCATTAAAATTGGTAAAATATATATCCAGCTATGATTAAATTGTATAAATAATTATATAAATAATTACCTATTTGGTGATTATTAAAAATATGTTTCCTCGAGTAATGTTGAATTGTAATGTTGAAACTTACACTCTAAAATTCACATTATTTTGTTGGCTGAGTTTTGCAGTACATTTCAAGAGAGTTCACCTTTTTAAATGATAAAACTAAATTTAGATTCTTAACTATGTTTCTGTATCTGACATTTGTACTCTGGTCAGCTTGTTTACGTATGTATTCCAAAATAAATTTTTTGAACCCATATATATTCCTATAGAAGGGCATAACTATGTATACATTATTTTCCCGTATTGGATTACAACTCATATTCAATTTGTATGTAGCAAGAATTTGAGGTTGGTTTCGTTTCAGGTGTCTGATAACCAAATCAGTTTTGGGTATGAGTAAATTATTTCTATCCATAATAAGTACTTTTTCTTTACACAACTTTAATACATTTTCAGGATACCCTCTATTAATAAACTTATCAGCAATTAAATTAATTTGTCTCTCAGCATCATCAGAACTTGACCATATTTTTTTCGCTCGTAGAAATTGACAGTATGGTAATGACTCCTTTAATGACTTAGGATGGTTTGATTGATAATGTAAAAAAATATTTTTAGCCATTGGCTTCGAGTACAAAGATGTTGTTATCTTGTTCTCATCGTTAAAACTTAAATTCACATCAAGAGAATTAATTGAATCGTAATTTGTTTCTAAAGTGAACTCTAAATATTGGTGACAAAAAGTTTGCCTACACCAGACATCGATATCCATAATTTCAGAGCAGTTTATTATAAGTGAACCATCATCCACAAATCTGGCATTAAATTCGATCTCAGGTTTGTCTTTAAAACTGTCATTAAGTTCATAAAAAGCTGTAATGTTTGCTACTGAGACTGACGCTGAGTTACCCATTTGGATACCTTTAATTTGAATAAAATGTTGATTTTTGAATTTTACATAATTATAATCTAAGCATAAATTCAATAAATTATTAAATTGAATATCATTAGATTGAAATGGCAAAGTTAAATAGGCTCGATAAGTTTTGAAGGCTTGTGTACAAAATTGCTTACATTTGCTTAAATTAAGAGATGTGTACATACTGGATATGTCATAGGTTAAAAATATGTATTTCCCTGTGGGATTTAAAGTAAGCTTATCAAGGAGGATTAGCAGGTGGTTAGTATCAATAATAAGATTTGGAATAAATGTAGTAATAGGTTTTAAAATAAAGTCAACCAACTCGTTTACAAACTTGTTGATTGTGTTACAAGTACTGCTAATTGGCCTACCAACAGGAAATTTTACAAAAGGTTTATGAATTTTCGGTAAAACATAAAAATTTGCTGGTTCATAATTAGAGTTAATTAAATCAGTAAGTTTAGTTTTTTTGTTGTCATTAAACTGTATTTTCATGGATTTCATTTTGTCCATGAAAATCTCCATTTTAAGATCATATTCGGTCTTAGTACTGGGTATGTAAATAAATTCGTCTTCCAGCTGACGTAAAACCTCTCTCTCATAATCATCTCTATTCATTACACAAATTCCTGCATTTTCATCTGCATTTTTTACAACTAAGTTGTTATTATTTAGAAAATTTTGAAATTGGAGCAAGATTTCTGGAGGAATAAAATTTTCTTTCGTATATTTTTTAGCAATAAGCGATATAAATCTTGAGGAAATATTATCATTTGGAAAAATTTGACTCTGTATTTCACATGGACTTTTTTCAATGTTTTTGTGTTTTTTTATCCTGATTAAAAGTTTATCAACTGGAGTTAAGATATTGACTTGGTTAATATCTTTAAAAAATGTGATCCAACTAATTTTCCTCAAAATCTCATTAAAACTGTCTGTTATTTTATGATAATTAAAGGATTGTAAAACACAAAATTTTAGACCAAAAGACAGAATGAATAGTACGAATTCAGGCAGTTTCCTGATATTTGATAAATTGTGAATGTGATTGTCTTGTGCTTTGAAGTTTGAATACATACGATATAGTTTGTTATGCTGGGTTTTGGTAAGTTCACCTTTGTATTGTAAAGTTTTCGACATGTTAGTAAATCGTCTTTGTCTTCTTTTTTTATCAATCTTAATGGCGGCGTTTTCCTATGTGAAGGTTTGCAGGATATTGACGTTGGATGTGGAAGGGGTGGAGTTCTCTTGTCGTGCAAGTTTTTGGAAATTCGGGTTGGGCGTGAAATTGTACATATTGTTAGCTTCTCTCGATCCTTGAGGGAAATAAATTTTTATATTTTCAGGTGTGTAATTCTGAACACAAATTGAGTTTCATTTTTTAAATCGGGTTAAAATTCGATAATTTACAGCGTTTTTAAAAATCCGAATTTTGACTGAAATTTTTTTTGAAAATTCCTCCACGGGCGTAAACATGCCCATTCAGAAAAACGAAAAAATACGGGTCCATTTATTTTTGGGCGTGAACAATTTAAAATTAGGCCGGTGGATATCGGCGATAACCAGCTCACACCTCCTCACTGTGAGTGGTAATTAAGTAATTCTTAGACACAATTTTAATTATGTAAGAAACCCTTAGGACATGATTTATTTTTTTACACGGGTTTTGAATTCTCTTTGAATAATGGTTCATTATCTTCTAAAAATGCGAAATCGGCTAAAAATGCTAAGCTAAAAATGTGTGTGATTTAATGTATTAAATAATTAGAAATGTTTTCCATAAAAAAAATATATCACAAAAAAGGTTACGATTTAAATTTTTGCTTACTGTAGATACCAATTGTTTTAAGAATTTAAATTTAGCGTTAGTATTTATCTTAGGGGCCTATTCTAAGGGGCCCCGTATAAAAATCATGTGGCGACTTCTGCATAATACGGCACACTTAGTCGGCATAATGATTTATGCAGAAAAAATTATGAATAATTCTGCATAAATTTCTGGAGAGTATATTCTGCATAAAAGTTTATAAACTGATATTTTTATGAAGAGACTTTTCTTCATACAAAGCTTGTGGCTAGAATTATGTCTTGTGTATAGAAAAACCTTAGCATAATTATGCATAATCCTGCACAGTTTATGCACAAATCACCCTGCATAAATTTGTGTGAATAAAATTCAGCCAAATTGCTGCACAAAATCCAGCCAAATTGCTGCATAAAATCCGTTAAAATTTTTATACGGGGCCCTTCAACGGAAAAATAAGGTCCATGTGATTCCTAATTCTGGCTTTCATCTCACTAAAATATCTCTGCGTTGCTTTGTAATAATGTTGCATTGTAGGATCGTATTAAACTTTAAAACATGTAATTTTATTTCTAAGAGTGTCAGGATGAGTAGATGCATTCCAAATATTTGCTCGTATAAGCGGTAAATGAAGGGATTGTAAATTTAGAGAAACGTTGTTTTAGTTAATGAGCTCCTGGCAGCGATTTGGAAAAAAGTGGAAAAAATGAACATTTTTGCGTTTTTATTAACCAAGCTACAAGGAATCTTGATTGTAGCCAACTATCTATTTACGAATAATCCAGTTGAACTTAAATTTTTTGTTAATTCTAGGGAGACGTGGGATGATATTTATTGTTTCGTAAAAATTCACCTATTATAAAGTTCAAAATAATTGCGACCAGTTTTCGAGTTACATACAATTACCCAAAAAATTTCTGTTCAACCGGATTAAATTATGATACCAAATTTTGGCAAACCTGAGCTATTTACCATTATCACAAAACGATATTAAAACGATATTAAATCCAATTAGCTAGCTAGTTAGTTATGTATGTTGTTTATGAACCTCGTGCATGCATATGTTTGTGTCGTTATTATGACTTAATTAAATTTCAAATAACTGTGAAACTAGTAATTTATCCATGGTTATGTTAATTACAGGGGGTTAATTTTACTCAGGAACTAGAAATTATAACGATAATACATACATACTTGACCAAGTTACGTTTTAATTTAAGCAAATTAAATACCCTAATTACACGTAAGCACAAATTTACATTATGTCGGTCACATATTTGCAAAAGTTCCCATTATGAAGGTTTTAAATTTGTGCAAAAACGATTTATTACACAATTCCTGAACGTCTCTCAGACTTATTCACATATGCATACATACATAAGCCTCTATATTAGAACAATTAATGACACCATGTTGTATAAAGTTATGGCCAAATATTTAATTCGAAGTGCTTTCGTCACCTTAAGGAACGGGCCAATCGCCAAAGCTAAAATGTGACAACTCTTCACCTGCTTTTTCTTATATTTGGAAATGTTTCTAACTTTGGAATACCTGATAAACTGTTCCGATTTGGTGGCCACCTCAGCCAAGAGAGGAAGCAGGCCGTGCACAAAGGCCACAAACATTATTTGAAAGAAACTTCCTGACACGGAAATTGGGAGTGGGACGTTTATCCCGAATTTGACTAGCATGCAGCCCGTCATAACGCAGGTGACCAAGGTTGCCAGCATGGCAAACGGTAGGGCAATGAATGCTACCTCATTCGTAGGTGTTAGCAAGACTTGAAGTTGCCGAAATTTCATGAAACTGGTGTGAAAAGGTGTGAATTCTATCCCAGGAGTTTTTGGAAATAATTTTTTAGGTTTTCCGGTCATCCAGCTTAAACAGAGGTAGACACACAGCGCGACATTTGTTGCGTTTATGATGCAAGAGTAAATCAATATGCAGCCATGACACGTGACAATAATTGTGATGACCACGCGTAAGATTTGGTTGACCTGGTGGTGAAGAAAGGTCACGTGTCGAAAGATGAAATAGGTTGGGTCGATATTTGGTATAATTAGGGGAATAGACGAAAGTACGAGGGGCGTTATGATTGGGGCGGGTATTAAGGAGTGAAGGAATAATCCGATATTTTTGAATGAAGCGGTTTCTGAAACTTACAGAAAAACGGCACATTTTGTATTTGATAGGATTGAAATTTGTTAGAAATGCTCGAGAAAAAAAAACAAGCATCTGAGGGTAAACTATACCTGTTCACTTTCATTCATGTGACTGATTATGATAATGAATGAATATGAATTTCACGTGATTTGAATGAAAATGAGTGAAAGATTCAGTCATTTCAGATGAATGACAGTAAATGAAGGGATTTCTCACTCCTATCATTTTTCACCCTATGTTTAATATGTACATGGGGCGAACTACGTAAGAAATGGTGTCAGATGAAGTCAAATGAAATGAGTTTGAATGAAAATGCCTGCGTTTGAATGAAAATGCCTGCGTTTGAATGAAAATGCCTGCGTTTGAATGAAAATCTTCAGTCAGAAATCGGGATGACTGAAGTTTGAATGAATTTTTTTTGAACTGGTATGGGATAAACATCCGCCAGACTATTGTACTAGAGAAACTGGACTCTTATCGGTCGACTTATGTATGTATATTCTACATTTATTCACCGGCGTTAAAATTTCAAAATCTTTTCTGCAGAAATTTCTCAGATTTCT